TAATTTTTTTTTGAAACAGACACGATGCAATGTTTCATATTGGTATAGCAGGAAAAATCTGACAGTAATAGTTGCACTCTTGCCTGAATATCCTCTACTGTAGTACTAAGCTACCGAAACCAACAAATTTATAGTGCAGGGATTGAGACCAAACTTTGAAATACAATGTTGATGTTGTGCCACCCTTGAACACTTTCTTATTGGTATTCACAATATACTCCATCTGAAAGTCTGCAGATCTGCTGGAGCTTCTGACAAGAAAAATGAAACAGTGCAACTTCGTGTGAAGACATGCGAGATGCGACCACTATGGTTGAAAAAAAGACATTGAACTTCGGTAACCAGGTGTGTTCAGTATAAGACATTACTGTTTTTCAGTTAGACTTAGTGTTGATGTTCGAATGTTCGACCATGCCCTTTATAGTTCATGAGCACTGCTACACTTACTAAATTCTCTTACGTACTAACAATGATTTCAACCATTTGATTTAACTGCAGGAAATCGAAAGGCATGACGCATCAGTATTAGTTTTTGGAAATTGCATGAACCCACATGTTTACACTCATGGAATTTAATTACAGGGACTGATTTTTGTCAAAACATTGTATGGTTAACCCCCAGCAGTGTACTTTAGTATTCCGGAGCTGCATGATAGAAATTAAGCTAACTTCTGCCCTTATTAGTATTACCTCCGAATGCATTTGGCACTTTGGCATTGGCATGTTGTAAGGAGTGCGGTTATCGATCCTGGAACAAACAGAACACGGTCAGTGGCTCGTCTCGTCCACTCGCCACTTCTAATCAACATTCTGTTGCCTACTCCATACTACTCCCTCCGTCCTATATTATAAGGCTTTTTAGATTATGCGACACATCTTAATACTATAAGATGTATTATATGTACCCAAAATCTTTTATAATATGAAACGGAGGGAGTACTATCTGCTATGACGCTGGATTTCTGTCACGACGGAGTTGTGGAGTGCTTCCCTGCAGCGCACATACTCTCTCCATCTCAAAAAGGATAATTTCTGGTTACGAATATAAATAAGATTCGTAGCTAGAAGTTTTGCTTGCCCGCAGCGTACATACTCTCTCCATTTCAAAAATGATAATTTCTGGTTATGAATATAAATAAGATTCGTACCTAGAAATTTATTTATTAGACAATTTATTTATTAGACAGGGGCGTAAGCTCCTGCCTCGCCATCCAATCCGTCGTAGCACGAGCGGCTGGAAATGAACGAAGACGTCACACATACAATCCGGCGAAAATTCCAAACTCGAGGTGGTCATTTCACCTCACCTGTTTGCAGAGGCGGCCAGGCAAGCGATGGATCGAGGCGACCTGTGTTTGTTGTTGTGCGCGCCAACGCGACATGCGCTCGCGCGGAGAGATTCCGTGTGCCGTACTACGCGCGCGGGCACCACCTTGCCTGCCTGTACGAGCGCTCGAGCTCGCTGCTATTACGTACCTACGCGCGCGCCGGGAAAAAACGCCAAAATACCGTGCAATCGGCCCGATTCTCCCGGGCGCCGCGTGGTGGCGGAATGGAATCGCTCAATCGCACATTCGCATTCAACTGTTCTCGTCAAACTTTCAACTTTTCTTTTTTCATATAGAACTTTTCTATACACAAGCTTTAAACTTTTCCGTTATATCTTTCTAATTTCTTCAAACTTCTAATTTTAGCGTGGAACTAAACACAGCCTAAACCTCATGATTTTTTACAGATCACATAATCATGATATATACAGTAATCGTACGACACAGCGAGTTGCTGAATGCTTATAGTGATAGTGCGAGTGTGAAGGTGAAGCAGCTGGTAGGGTAGAGGGCACATGTCATCCATGGAGGCCCAAAGTAAAGGGGGAGACAATGCAAAGGTGGTGGGCGGATTGGACGGGATAATCCCATTTCCCATAGAGACCGCGACGTCGAGAGAGAGTATCGTACGTTATCCCCGGGCGGGTGGGGGGACGGTGGACGAGAATCGAGGAGGGTGCAGCTGCAGTGCAGGGACAGGGGACCGATCCGAATCTGCAGTGCAGTTAAAGTTTGGGCAGCGGAGGCTTCTCCTTGACGCTTCCTCGATCGATCATCCTGGGCGCATGATAAAAAGCGGCTCATGTGCGCATGCATGACAAGGACGCTTGCCGCCGGCCTCGCGACCCAGAGATTCCACGGTCAAATCGCAGTGTCGATCGATCACCACCCCGTAAAACCACAGCTACTTCCTCTGTTTTATAATATAAGGCCATGTTTAGTTCGTGAAATAAAAATTTTTGGTTGTCACATCGGACGTTTAATCGGATGTCAGAAGGGGTTTTCGGATACGAATAAAAAAACTAATTTCATAACTCGCCTCGAAAACGCAAGACGAATTTTTTAAGTCTAATTAATCCGTCATTAGCACATGTGGATTACTGTAGCACTTATGGCTAATCATGTACTAATTAAGCTCAAAAGATTCGTCTCGTCATTTCCTCCCCAACTGTGTAATTAGTTTTTCTTTTAATCTACATTTAATACTTCATGCATGTGTCTAAAGATTCGATGTAATGTTTTTGGGAACTAAACGGGACCTAAGACTTTCTATATTACCAACATTTATTTAGATGTTAATGAATCTAGACATATGTACGTGTTTAAATTTATTAACATCTATATATATGTGGGTATTGATAGAAAGTATTACATTGTGAAACTGAGGGAGCACTACTACTCTCGATCTGGCGGAATAAAGCTAAGCTAATCCGACGGCCGGCCCAAAGCGAAGCGACCTGCCGAGAAACGCGAAGGAATTTCACCCCGCATGCGATCCCGATCCATCTCGCGCGCGGTGGATCGATCGTTGTATCCCACAGAACTCGTCCGCGCGGCCGTGTACACGGGCGCCGGGCGCAGATGGTACGTACTCCTACGAGACGTGCTGTGTCGCGCGCGATGCGTTGCCCACTGCTACTAGTCAATAATGCCAAGCAGTTCGATCGATTTGATGGTCTTGCATTGCGTGGTGATGACTCGATCGATGGATGTAGCGTCTCTGCGCGCAGCGTTCGTCGCTGTACGCGTACGTGTGGGTGTTGTCAGACTGGGCACCAAAATGCATGCACGTTCGTACGCACGCACTTGCAGGAGTAGTACTGTAGTAAGTACGTCGTCCATGCATGCACTCCATACGATATGATGGGCCCAGATTGTTTGCATTGCCACGCGGGCGAGTGTACGTACGTACCATGCATATATATATGGAGTAGTACTCTGGACGAGGCAGTCAAATTTAATTGTACGTGCGGCAGCTAGTACCATTCAATATCGTACCGGTCTTCGCCTGCTGGTTGTACGTACCGTGTATTAATTCAGTCAATCGATCATGCATATCGTATCGTATTATATTGGTTTTGTTTGAGGGGAGCCCGGCCGGCCGGCTAGCTTAGCTCTAGCTAGCTGACTAAATAAATGTACCCTCTTATACGTACAACTAGTAAAATCGAAATAAACCATACTAGAATCTACGTAGCACCTTGTGTTTTAAAATATGCTCCATCCATCTCAAAATATAAGAACAGACGGGACATTTTTTAGTACAACGAATTTGCATAAGCAGGACGGAGGGAGTAGCAAATAGATACTAGATTAGACACAATATATTACTACGAATCTAAATAGGAGAAGTACTAGCTAAGTTACAATAATTTAAAATTGAGGAAGTAATTAATTTGTGAGAAATACATGCAAATAATACATATGTACATTCTCTTAAACAGACAAATTCTAATGAACTGTGTTTTCGTCAGGCGGGTGTGGAACAAGCTATCTGCGCTTGGTAGGTTTGCATTCTAATGAAGTGTGTTTTTTCCTCAGGCGGGTGTGGAACAGGTTGCCTGCGCTTGGTAGGTTTGCATAACCTCTTTCCTGATCAGCAATAAGCGGTATTCCATCCTTGGTGGAAGCAATCTTGTGGTTGGATGCACGAGCACCTCAGAAAGGGGTTCGACGACTATGGTTACTTGGCAGCTTTGGTTGGAGTGAAATTCTCATGTTTTCGATAACGTTATTTTCCAAGTAGACACGGTGGTGGACATGATATTGCAAAGAGGCGACTCTGACATGAGGTGAAACATTCGCGTCTCTAGTAGTTTTTTTTTCCCACTTGTTCTCTTTAACTAGCTAACTCTTCCTCGCCCCTTTTCCTTTTTGGAGTCTGTTCCGGTTTAGTTAGCATGCTTTTTTTTGCTTGGTCCTCATCCCCTCCATAACCGTTACTTTTGTGTCAAAGTTGTATTCAAACTTCTTTCTTCTATATATATAGTAGTACTTCCTCCGTTTCATATTATAAGACTTTCTAGCATTGCTTACATTCATATATATATTAATAAATCTAGACATTAACATCTATATATATATGAATATAAGCAATGCTAGAAAGTTTTATAATATGAAAAGAAGGGAGTAGTATATATTATAGTGGTTGTGGGTTGCATCTACTATAACTGACTCTGAACTGCCCTATAACTCAAAACATGCATATACTTCATTCATTCCATATTAAGTTTATCTTCAGCTCTCTCTATTTGTCCCAAAATAAGTTTATTTTAGAGTGATCATATTGCATTAAATTTCACTACTAGAATCCACCAACTTCCCTAGAGCCAAATACACTAGGGATCAGGGGAAAAACTCTAGGGAACAGGTTTCCCTAGGGTAAACCCTAGGGATTTCGCTCTAGGGATCCATTCTACAGGAACAACCCAGTTCCCTAGAGTTTTTCCAGGAAAAGCTAGGGAAAGACTTCGTTCCGTAGAGTTTCACTCCCTAGGGACAGTTGTACATTTGGCATCTGAATCTGACGTGTAAAGTGGATTTCTTTTGGTTTTCAGCCAAATTTGGGGAAAATATTGGCATTTAAATAAAATATTTATTTCATTGTTTTATTTTGGTTTCTTTATTTTACGGTCTTCCTTTGCCTCAACATCAAAGCTAAAATATTACTAGTTGAAATAAAAATGCCATTCTATTATTAATAGAAAATACTCAATTACATTGATTCTTCATTTTACATTACATTGATTCTACGACAATGGAGCTGAAAATATTCCTCTCACAAACATATGATGGACACTTCAGATGTGCTGATGAACTGATTCTATCATCGCTCAGATCCAAACGATAATAAAATAAAATACAACACACGTTCTTGAAAGCAAATCTAAACCACTTGATTCTAGCTTGCTTCTGCAACAACAGTGGAAAGCTTGAAACTTGAAAAATTGCATCCGCAAAGAACTGAAGTTGAACTAATCTTCTTTGTTCTCCAATGCTTCCTGCCCTTGCCTCTTGAAAAGAAAACCCGAATAGCATGCTCAACAGCCCAGATCAAGATAATATGCAAATGGGCATGTATATGAAAGAAACTTCAGTTCGAGCTCAGTTGGAACAACACTTACTTGGATCATGATGGAGGCTGGAGCAACAGCAATCTTGTGGTGCTCACTGCTTGCCGGAGTGGGCTCTTGTGCTGCACGCTATGAAGAAAGAAAGTAGAGGAAAGGAGATGAGAAAGTTGGATCAGAACAACTAATGCAAGACGGAGACAACGGCGTGCGGTGAGAGAGGAGGCTCCGTCGAGCTCGTCGAGAGCGGTAGCTGTTGGGTGCTTGCTGTCGACCGGTTGCTGGAGCTCGAGCTTTGGTTGAGGAAAGGGAAGGGGCCGCCGCCGCGCGCCGGCCGGCCGCTGGGAAGAAGAAAAACGAGAGGATGTGGTTTGCTTGAGTTGTGGAGAAGATAAGGTGGGCCCAAACTTTACTGGGCACAAATTTTGTATGTCGAGGGCACGTTCCCAATCGCAGCAAGGAAAAAAATTGAAGAAAAAATATATTGGGAGTAATCAGACCACGATGCTGATGTGGAGCAGCTGTGTGTTCTTTTCAGCCAAAGTTCCCTAGGAATACTTCTTTCCCTTGAGTTTTTAGTTTGCACCCTAGGGATCATTTTGGTTTCCCTTGGATTGCTTTAACAACCTAGGGAACATTTTAAACTCTAGGAAACCCATTGAATTCTAGTAGTGATTATAGTTTGCAAAAATAGAGAATAATTGTATCGAGAGTAGATAAAGTAAAGAATATTTGCATTTGGATTTGATAAAGTAGGAGTATTCTAGTCTTTTGTTTCTATATTGGTATGTGTGAGATGGGTGAAAAATAAATGTATGTTGAGACGGAGGTACGTAGTTGGTAGTATATATATACTATAAGCATCGATCTGTGTAACTTTATCAGGTCGCAATTGACCAATGCAAACATCAATTTATGTCGTTGTTTCGTACGTGTCATCAGGTTGTCATGCATATATACGTCGTACTACTGTCTGCGTGTGTGCAGTAGTACGTTTGGATCGATGCACGTATATCGGTGAGTATATGTGTAACGACATGCCACCTAGCTAGTCCTTTGGTAAATATGGGCAGACACATTCTGGTCCCCCATTGAGAAGTGGCCTGCATGATTAATTTGTTTTCTATGAATTCCATCTAGCTACAAGATCATCACAGAACAGAGATCCTTGTCGGCCCCGCTAGCTAGCTAGCTATCGTGTACCTTGGTTATTTTATGCAGGTAGGATGTATTATATCAGTACAGTATATGTCATTGTATTCTTAATTTGTTAGTAGTAAGTAGTAGCACTTATGTTAAACAGGTATAAAGATCGACCACCAGTGCATATGCTAATGTAGATTATCCTAGATGATACGGTCTGGATCTTAACCTTTTTCTCTGAAAGTGCGAGTGGGCAGGATCTTAATATATGGGAACAGCGTTGTACTACTACTCTTGTAGGAGAGAATTAATTGAAGCATATGCAACCCAATGCCTAGCTAGATCTCTCTTGATTTACTTAAATATACAGAGTCCTAAACATTCGCAAATTAATCGAAGGAAATTAAAATTGATCGAGTAGCTTTACTATAGATACACACACAAGTACAAGCCAATGCAGTGGCATCAGATTCTTGAGCATTGGGATCTCTGCATTCATGTACACGCCAAGCCGCTCCTGATTAACCTATAATTTAGAACATACATTCCTTGGCACCTTCCCTGGGCCAAAACCAATTAGTAATACTCTCCTAGAATGTATAGAGTTTCCCAGTTTGCCATCACTGTATTATACACTTATACATAATGCATGTGCATGGGTCATGGGGTGCAAGCTTACAACTTGCAATGTATGATTGTGCTCATGTGATGCAACGTGAGCCCAACCACAGTATCTCTCTGTCTTAGACTCGCATACACACACATGTATGCAGATATATACTGCACAATTATAAGTTGTAAAACTAGATAAACTACTGTTGTTGCCGCGCACTAGAGACGACACGGATCTACTTCCTCCGTCCTAAAATGTTGCTACCTAAAGGACAACGAATCTGGACAGAACCTCTCTGCGACGGAGGTAGTAGCTAGCTACTAGCAAGAAGATGAGTAACCATGCGAGTAAATTATACTCCCTCTAGCTACCTTCAAATACTTGTCGATCGCCAGATATTATTTACAGTATCTTTAAACTTTGCACTTATCTTCTTTTAAAGAAAATATGCTTATACTCAAGTATTCCATATTAATGAAATGTATTGTATCCTAAATATCAGCGACGGAACCATAAATTATTGAAGAGGGAGGGCTAATGTAGGACTTAACTAATGAATTGTTAATTTTCTCAAATTTACATGCATGGTGATTTAAGATAATTTAATCATGATTTTGGAGGCAGAGCCTACGGCTCAAACTCTAGCTGTCTTAGAGCTGTCTCCGCCCCTGCTATATATATAGGGTGTGTTTAGTTCACGCTAAAATTGAAACGATGTGACGAAAAAGTTGGAAGTTTGTGTGTGTAGGAAAGTTTTGATGTGATGGAAAAGTTGGAAGTTTGAAGAAAAAGTTCGGAACTAAACCATGCCATAGTATGGTCATGAACTTTTGTATATCGTGGCATAACCATTATTTAAAATCTATTGATGACCAAAGTTAAAATTATATTGTTCAACAGCTGGAGATAGTTATTCGAAACCGGAGGAATTGAAGTACAAAAATTACAATTCAATTGTGTATTTGTCGTTCACATTTCAATCCATACAGGTAGAGGGCCGTAGCATAGGACCCAAGCAGAGGAGAAAAAAGTAAGGGTCTCTGGAGCTTGGGAGGGAGGGGCCTGGTGTATAAAGCTAAAGCTGCCATTTTTTCTGATCCCTCTCTCTATGCGTGTGATTTGTAGTACAGTCTGACAGGAATCTGATACCCCTGGCCTGCTGTCCTGTGCTAGTACCTCCCATTTGAAGATCACCACCTCAATCATCTCTCTCTCCACTCTCACCCACACATGTACACACACTCTCTGACACTGCACACACGCGTATGAAAATTACTCTCTCCGTCCCATAATAGATGACGTTTTTGACTTTTTATTTGCAACGTTTGACCATTCGTTTTTTTTGAAAAATTAGTGCAAATATAAAAAAGATAAGTCATATGTAAAGTACTTTTGATAATAAAGCAAATGACAAACAAAATAAATAATAATTTCAATTTTTTTTGAATAAGACGAATGATCAAACATTGACAAACAAAAACTCAAAAAGACAAGTAATATGGGACGGAGGTAATAACTAGCATGAATTTGATGTCTATACTATTTCTGCTTCCAGCTCTGAAATGAATTTGTGTTGTTCTGAAAGGCACAGTAGCACACTACTGGGAATTTCTCGATTGCAGGAGAAAAAAATGCAAGTGTCTAAGGCCACATGCGATGTTGCGCCAAGCGAGATGAGAGAGGCCGCGACAACGGCGGAAAGCTAGAGGATAATCGAGCGCCATTTGATTGATCCACCAATATCGATACAGATCTGTGTCGACGACAAATTAAAGCGCAGGGCGAGCGCCCAAGAGGTTAGATCTGACTAGCTGGTGTAACAGTTGAAATGGATGGTTGTAAGTGCATGCACACTACACTGATCTTTGGTACGGTGTATAGTGATGTAGTCTGTCATATCATTCATATGTAATCAATCGATATATCTTACATCTTGATCAAATAATATAATCTAACTTGTATAAGTTACACATCAAATGTTAATTTGTCTGGTTTGTCTGCATTGAATTTTTTGCTATCATGCATATATTGATGTCTGATTCTAAACATGAATTTTCTACTAACTACTAATATCTTTTACGCTAAAAATCTACATCTTAATTTAAGTTCAGCCCGAATTAAGCTCTGTGAAATTTGGGGCTCATGGGGAGGCAACAAGAGGACTGAAATGGTCGGTACATAATAAACTCTAATTAACGAACAAAAATCATGCTTCGATGTTAGTGCAGTGAGAAATCATAGGTACAAAATTTAAATAACAGGTAAATCCAAATAAGATGGAAAAGTGGAATACAGATATGCTATGGAAGTAATTTCTGACCTAATTTTATTTATTTTATGCCACTTGGATTACCCTATTTCGATTTAGTCTCCTCATTTCTTACTCAAAATATTCCTTGACCTACAATAACTAGAGAGAGTCTTGAGAGAATTTTATGCACAAGTCCACTAGTCTTCACCTATACCTTTCTTTATATGAAGTTGTATACTCCATCCGTCCCATAAAAAACCAACCCAGTATTGAATGTGACACATCCTAGTGCTATGAATCTGGACATACATTTGTCCAGATTCATTGTATTAGAATATATCATATTCAATATTAGATTTTTTTTTGGGACGGAGGGAGTATATATCTACGGTAGCTAATCGTCGGAGAACAAAATAGGCGAACATCCTTATTCCTTTCTCCATTATACATTGTTATATCCCTTTCTAGTTGCAGTGTGTATTCGATAATTAGCTAGGTCTCTGTTGTATTTTGTCAATATAAGGAATCATATTCTATTTTTGCCGGGCTCAGCGGAAACTGGTATAACAAATTAATATGCGTGCCAAGATGGTGAAAGGAATATATATTGTTCTCTCTCACAGTCGATAAAATCATTGTGACTCGAGTGTTTTTGACATATAATGTTGGAATTCAATGAGAATCTGCTTGTTGATTTATACTTCCTTTGCTTGAAAATATGTATATATATAAACCTGAAAAGAAATTTTCATTTAATTTCCCCCTAGCTAGTTATTCTAATGAGCTACTCCCTCCGGTTCTATATTAATTGACGTTTCGGATAAGGTTGAGGTCAAACCTTTATAACTTAGACTATTAATAACTTTAAAAATATTTAGTTTAAAGAAACTAGAACAATATATATAGATTTGTCTTTTAAAATACTATAATAAAAGTAAACATGCATTTATTTATTATATATATTATAATAGAAACATAAGGTCAAAGATGTATCATCTTTTAGACCGTGTCATTGTCCAAAACGTCAATTAAAATAAAACCGGAGGGAGTATTTATATAGACCTTGAAAAATGATAAGGATGCAAAGAAGAAGTGCGGCTGATTAGTTTTGTGATTGCATTGGAACTTCAATACTATTAATTTACATAGGATCATCAGTGATGGTCTTGTAATTAATTTGATGAAATCCAAACATATAAACACATGGGGTCAAGGTGAGGTCGTAGCCTTTATTCCCTCTCCAAGAGGGGAAGAGTACTGCATTGGACTGCGCGAAAGCAGACGAAAACTTAGATTCCCTCAGACAGCGACAGGCAAACAAACGAGAGAGAGATTGAGATTGAGGCTATACATCCAGCACTGAGCTTAACACTAATTAATTAATTGGAGTGCCAGGATAAATTTAATTACGAAATTTTAATTTTCATCGTCAATGACCACTAGGTGGCACTAGCTAGTTAGCTCTCTCTTTTAGTTACTGTACATTAACAAGGCTCTCTCTCTCTGCTGCGCTATATGAGCTGCACTGCACTGTGTGGCCGGTGTGCTAGCTAGCTTCTCCTGCATGAAGTAATCAGCTTAGCTTCTACATAAACAGACAAACAATCTTTTGCTTTCCACATTGCGTTGTCTATTACGCTTTCAGAATTCAGAGATCAGAAATTCAGAGCCTTGCTAGCAGCAGCTAGCATCGATATCGTAGATTTATCTCCTAAAGTGGTAGGCAAACCACGGCATACGCATCAATTTTAGCGCGCGCGCGAACACTATCGATTCATCGTGATTCGTGAGTCGACCATCTCCTTAATTTTTTCAGTTCGTCGATGCTCTATCGATCGGAGTTAGTAGCTATATGTCAACAATTAATGTCATCCACGATCAATAATTTGATTATATCATTTCAAGTTTTCATATGATCATCGATCAAATTAGGTCAAGTATATGATTTAACCCTGACTGGTTTCTCTTGATGGACAGTTTATGCTCATTCCTGATGCATATGGTATGGTTGTTAGCTGTCGGGGAATTTCTGCATTCTGGTAGTGGCATAGGCAACACATGGTATATGCTGCAAGCTTACCCATACATTGAAACAGATAGCTAGATTTATATATATTATTGATCGAGTATTCTGGAATCAACAGACAAATGAAAATAATCGAATTAATTACGATACAATATATCTGCTGCTGCAGGTTGAGCAGGATGAATATGCACACTTTGATGTGGCATTCAGTCAATGGCCGGCCGGTTGGCTTCAAACCTCTAGAAATGCAAAGCTACTGACGGCCGGCCGTTGCCATGACTCCCATCTCCTCTCCTCGATCGAGTAGCTAAAGGTAAAAAGATGGCAAATGGGGGGCCAAAAGAAGCAAAAGAACAAATTCTTTGAGCACAACTAAGCAGATTGCTCGCCATTTCCTGCACACTTCTGAATTGCAGTCAGTACACTAGCTAGCTTGGTTACTGGCCGGCTGGCCCCTTCAATTCATTCTTCCTTGGGGTGTGCATGCACATGAATAAATGTCTGTCTCTCTGCCTGCACTGTGGGGACATTTGCCATGATTACCGTGGTCAGGGGAAAAAAAAGGCTTTGAATGGAGATTGGTGCTTGGAAACCTAGAAACCTACACTATCTCATTCCCATCTCACATAGAAGAGAGATAGAGAGTGAGGAGAGATGTGGCTAATGCTACTAGCTAGGACCATATATGCATGCATGGAGAACTGGGTCACTATAGTGCATGCATGATCACTGATACTGCTTATACTATGTGTGTATGTGTGTGTGTGTTTGTGTGCCGTCAGAAGTCTGTGTGATCTCTCAAAAGATGAGAAAATGGAACCACTAGTTTAGAGCTTCTATGGATCCCTCATGCTCCATTCTTTGCGTTGGTTATAGTTGAGCCGCATTTGCAAAGATTCATCTGGATAGCTAAAGGAACACATACATTATATTCAACATGTGTCTGCATAATATAATAGTTGCATGGATGATGTCTTGTGTTCAGTACTTGCAAATATATGTGTGAATATTCGATGTTGGTTATTCATCAAAGTACTGTATGCGTATGCCGGCGAGAGTGGGTGCAGAAGATGATTAGCAAAGGATCATTCTTGTATGCATGACCTAGCTAGCTAGCTAGCTTAATTTGTGTGTTAACAAGTACTACAAATGGAGTCTATGTGCACCTATATATATGTATAGATGCACATATCATCTAGTCTCCACAAGACACTGAAAGTGATCATGGTTTCCTAAATGTGCATAATCTCTTCTCTTTTTTTTGGCAAATGTTTGCAGAATTGGAGCATTGCCAATCACGACCTTATTCATTCTGAAATGATAAAGTGTGTAATTCAATGCAACATCATCACTGATGTGTGTGCATGTTTGGAAACTTCTTCTCAACGATGCATATACATTAATAATACTTTGGTGAAGTAAAAAACATCGCATACATGCATGCATTATTATATGCATTACATCAAGTAACCGACAACCATATATCAAAATGCAATTCAGCTAGCTCACACATATGAAGAGATTGCATGCATCATTATATATATGTGGACCAAATTAAATTAACTAACTCCCATTGAGTACTCTCGTAGTCTTGTAGATAAATATATATCACCTTAATTCCACCATGAACACATTGCACCAATCTAGTAAACCTTACCTAGCAACAGCATATATAGCAAGTTTACAACACATATTGAAAATGGAGAACAATATAGAGAGGAGAAATATAATCCCACCATCTTATACGCGACAAGTACAAGAACCAACAAGAGAAGCAGAAAGAGATAAGAACAGCGAGAGGAAAAACTCAAAAGCAAAAACTAGCATCGCCTAGCATTTCTCTAGACAAATTGGGTTTGAAGCAGCTCGATCGATCACGAACAATATATATGGAGATATATATCAATGCAGCCCTAATCTTGTACTTGCACCACACACAACTCCTTAATTCTCCTTTGATCTTTCTCAGAGAAGCCATGACTAAAATTAAGCTTCAGGGCTCGTTAGGGTTCTACCTCTTTTGCAGCATTGATCCATTCCATCATCCATTTCGCCGGCAAATGCGTCGTGTCACAGTATGTTCCCCGACGACGACGAGTTGAATCCGGAGAGATCAGCCCATCCGCCGCCGCTGCCGCCGCCTCCCGGAGCGACACCGGCGCCGCTGCCGCCGGTGGCGCCGTCTCCATTGCCGCCGGGTCCCGCGCCGTTGCCACCGCCCCAGAATTGGAGGTTGCCGGGGAGGCCCAAGAACTCCCTCGGCGAGCTGTTCATCGCCGCGGACTGAGCGTTGCTGTCCTCCATCTTGACGGATGCGAGCTGCGTGATCAGGCCCGACGAGCCGGGCACCTTGGTGCCGGCCAGCAACTGGCCGGCGAAGCCGGCGGCGTCGGCGGCGGCCTCCGCGTCGAACGGGTAAATGCCGGACATTGGCGGCGGCATGGCGTCGTTGCGGCTCAAGAAGGGGAATTGCTGTATCTGCGGGAGGCGCCACTGCTCTAGCCCGATGGCGGCGGCGGCGGCGGCGCCGCCGCCGAGCTGGTAGTCGACGGGATCCAGCGAGCTCAATCCGGGAAACCCTAGCCTGGACGCACCGGAGCTGTAGTGATCGCCGCCGCCGAGCGGGTGGTGCAACGAGGCCAGGAACGGCAGCTGCGCCTGCGGCGGCATCATCGCCGCGGCCGCCGCGGCGCTGCTGCTGCCACCCGTGGCGGTCGACGATGTGGACGACGACGTGCCGCCGGTGGCGGAGGCCGAGCCGGCGGCCGACGTCGACGAGGACGACTTGGACGACTTGGTGCGCTTGTTGCGGCGGCACCCGCCGCCGACGGGGACGTTGCGGAGCGCTCCGCCGCGCGTCCAGTAGCGGCGGCACGTCTTGCAGAAGTGGCGCGGCTGCGAGAGCGAGTAGTTGTTGAAGTAGCAGAACTTGGTGTTGGTGGACTCGCAGCGCGGGCACTTGAGCCCCGGCTCCGGCTGCGGGATCTTCGCCAGCCGAGCCCGTTCCGTCATCGAGCCCGGCCGCACCGCCGTGCCGCCGGTCGGGCCGCCGCCGCCACCGCCGCCGCCGCTCGCCGCGACGGCCGCTGCTACCATGTCAGGCCGAGGCGCCATGAGGCCGCCGTGATGCGGCGGCATCGGCGGCAGCTGGTGGTGGTGGTGGTGGTGGTGGTGGTGCGCGTCCACTCCACCTCCGCCGCCGCCGCCGCCGCCGCCGTTGCCGCCACTTGGAAGCTGACCGTGGTGAGCTTGCTGTTGCTGAAAGCACCACCATTAATTCCAAATCAAACACGTACACACATGCACCAAAGAAAGAGAATTAAAGGCGACGAGAAATCAAGATCACAAACTAAAAGACGAGACGGTATATTCAACAAGAGATCGATTTAATTCTCAAAAGAGCGTAGGAATATTTCCTCAGCGCATTTTATTTGGTTTTGCTTTTTTCATGAAGAAGCCATACATACATACATATATGGCCATCATCCTACATAAAAAAGAAAGAAAGGAGAGAGCAAAAAAAGATCTTGGCCAAGCAAGAAAAAATTTCACCTGCTGGTTCCAATTGGGTGGATCAAGATAGACGGCCGGAACCGAAGAAAAGACCATGGTATAGAATTGATTTCTTTTGATCTTTTCCTACTTGGGGCCTTCTTTTTTGGGTTTTGTTTGTTCCTCTCCTCTCTTCTTTGTGAGATAAGGGTATATAGCTGCTTTAGGCCCAGGATCATGCAAGGATGGGGAGGCGGATCGATAAAAGGCGGCGAATAACACACCCACTAGCAAGCTGGAAATTGTGTGTGAGCTCTATCTAATCTAGCTGAGCTGAGCTGCTTGTGAGAAGAGAGAAACTATATCACTACTACTACTACTCTGGCCTGCGTGGTGATGAGTTAGCTGGTACAAAGAGAGGAGGAGGAGGAGGAGGAGAATGAAGAGAGGAGGGAAGCTAGAGAAAGGGAAAGAGATTGGGGTGAGAGGGAATGAAAGGGAGAGGGAATAAAAGGGAGAAGGGGGGCTTGCCACCCCTTTATTTTCCTTTATTTTTTTGTGTCTTAGTGGTGTGCTTGCATTATATATATTGGGTTGTGAAACATATGCATGGGAGGAGTTGAATGGTGAAGAGTGATGTTTCCTTAGCTCATAAGCATGTGTGTGTGTGTGTGTGATGCATGGATATATAATGGATGTGGCATGGCTAGCCAGCTAGCTAGGGATCAGTATGAGAGATCATCAGAGAATGGGGTTTTATGCAGGGAGAAAGCTGATGAAAACCCTAGATTTCTAGGAGAAGGAGAGGTGGCCTTGGCTGCTAGCTGCATGCACTGTTTATTGGAAGTCTCTGCTGGATTTGTTTGTTTGCTGTTCTAGCTTGGCTGGTTATTAGTTAATTATCAACCAGCTGATCTATATATCTATCTTGGTGTTTAACAGTACTGGATCAGGCAGAGCTAGCTAGAGGTTATCAAAATGATGTGAGCTAGCAGCTACAGGTGTCTAGGGGTGGCATTCTAGTGTGTATTTTGCAGGGTGTTCAACTTTATGTCCATTTTGATGAAAGAGATAAATCAGTAAAGCTGGTCTTGCTAGTTTTAGTCCTCTTGGACTCTTTGGCCAGTGGTGCAGCAGGTTGTGGTGTAGAATTCTCCTTCTCCTTCTTTCTCTAAACAAAGTTTATACTGCTAAGTACTACTAATTAACAAGTATATAGTATATGGCTAGCTATAGCTAGCTGACGTACAGTAGTCTCATGTGGTAATATATATGAGTAGGTAATTAGCTTTATGTGCATATAGATATATGCATGTTAATTGAATTCTTTGGTCTGTATTCACAATATATATATAATACTACATGGTTATTAATTTCATCCAAGTCTTTCTAGCTCCTGTAGCTTGACATGTCTGTGTGCAGAATATGTGATACTGGTAGTTCAGTGTGCAAGTACTGGGAAACTTCAGGACATGCATCAATTCATGGCCTCATGGATGATAGGCTACATAGATGAATAGATCTATGCAAGCTTTGTTGCCTTTTGTTCTTTTTTTTCCTCCCTCCTCCACATTGTACAAACTAAGCAAACATGGCATTTGAATACACTAACGATCGTAAAGCTTTACACATTTGAATTGTGCAAGATCTGAAAAGATCACAGTCCATATTCTTATTCTGTTCTGGTCGTCCGATAACTAAAATTTAACTGACTTTCATGCATGGCATTCCCTTAATATAATACATGGGCAGAATCTTTCCTGTCAAATATTCTGCTTTTGCCACCACAATATCACATATACTGATTATTTTTCTGCAAATGATGAGAGAACAAATGCAAGCTAGCTAGGATCAGTGCTCATTAGCGCTTATAATTAGGTTATTATTATTCTCCCTAGTTTAGATAGGTAGCTAGCTACCGGTTAACTTAATCGAGCAGAATAGACCCCACTTTTCCTTGTCCATGACTGATTAGAGAGATTGGACAGAAGATAACAATTTTGATTAACAATAGGATCTAACTAGTGTGCCCAGCTCATGTACCGATGAGCTCTCATTCAGACATTCAGTCATATGGGGATCGATGAGAAATCAGATACAGAGACAAATTAACTAGCTAGATAGAGTAGTACGTAGTTGTACAAGTGATTGATCGATCAGACATGGAGGACTCCAAAAGATTCAGGTAATGCGTTCCAGAGTGCAGCTGATTGGAGCATGATGTATAAGCGGCTACCATCTAGTGCTGCCCCATTTACAGTATACACACTGCTAGCTAGATATCTGTGTGTCCTTGCTCGCTACCTGATAAACTAGGGTGTCAAATTATTTTATATTAAATTTGTTGATCTATGGAGTCAAATTTCTCAATCATGTCTGCAAACCCTTCATTGTTCATGCATGTATATTCAATCCGGATTAACTAGTATAGTAAACTGCATATATTTTGAAGGTGCCACACCTGCAGCTGTATATTTATGCTATAAGGTTCTTATGCTGTTTATGTTCAAAATGTCGACAGGAAAGTTCAGATGGGCGATGTTGCTTGGCTATACTCAAGTAATCTTTCATCATTCGACTTTGTGGCGAATTGCTTTAGCAGTTAAGATTCTGCTCCGCTTTTGCTTCCTCTGATAATTTGTATCATTGTGTGCGCACTACTGCAACTGCTCATTTCTGCTTTGGAGATTGTACGTGGCGCAGTGAAGCCTCAACACTGACAAAATAATTAACCCATTAGATAAGGTCTGGATTCCTCTTGGACCGAGAGAACAGCATCACCTTTTGTTAAAAACATGACCCTTGAGGTATTAATTTAGAAGGAATTCTAGATAGTATCATGGAATCATCAGTGGCAGGTAATTAACTAACTTAATTAGCTCACGAACATGTAAGCTCGCTAGAATCACCGAAACTCTATGTAAAGAAAAGGAATTGTAATTTCATCTTACTTGACTGTGTATACACAGCATATGTCGAAGATGTAAATCATTTTTATTATAAAAAATATATATCTCAATCTCAAAGTCGATCTTGCCGGTTTGCATGGGCAGCTAGCCATCCTGCCATCCATGTCGAACATGTGGAACTCTAGAACACACATACAAGTGATTGAGGCACAGGCTGATGGGCTGATCAGCAAGTGCTCAAAATGGAGGAATTTTACGTCAATCAGGCATACGTCAGGACTGGATTTCCAACTGCCGGTGAAAAGCGCAACCCCAGAATGCCGATAAAGTGATAAACGCTCGCCCTGCTTTTGTTTCCTTTATTTTCTCCTTTTTAATACTGACAGTCCATCACACTGTTCTCTGCTGCAGTCTGCAGAACAAGTGCAGTATTGCTACTGGTGCTGAATTGCAGATGAAATCAATATTGAGCAGTTAGATTGTGTAGCGAATTGGTAATATTCTTTAGGATAATAGAAGTTCTCGCTCATCAATGAAGGCATCTAAGCCTCTACACCGGCTGATATCAGGGCAGATACAAGCCTAACGCAGCTAGGGCTTTAGACGCAGGCTTCCTCTATAACCATGTTTATATCCTCTGAATTCACCACTGAAAAATAGAAAAAAACCTACAATTTATTAGCAGAGCTCCAGGTGAGCATTAGGCTTTGGTAATTTCTGGCTTTGTACCTGGCTGATATGATGGTCATCATGAATGTACAGTGATGTTTAGTATTAACTTTCTAACTTGCTCCTGGTAGTACAAGCCAGAGATCACCTGAGCAAATCATGTGTTGGGAACACAGGATTAAAGAGGTGAGGTGATGCACGTAATGATGATTAAGGCAGAGATACCGGGTGTGGGTTCTTTGGGCGGGTAGGACCAGGGAGTGGTCGCTTTGGCCTGCATTATTATTGCTTATGACTCATTGGGCCTGCTGATTAAAGCGAAAGACGCAGCAGTATAGTCCCTCGTAGTGTGTATGTCCCCAGCGAGATCACATTGTGTGACTTTCCTTTTCTTCTCCCGACATCGCAGGATGTGAGCGAGATTCCGGGACATGCAACACATGTACTAGTAATCCGAGCTTTATCGTCGGACTAATCCGAGAACCTTTAGGTTTATCGTCGGTCGAGCTAAGCTGAGTACACAGCTTAACCAACCTGCGTGAGTGCGTGACGACTGACGATGATAATTGCATCGCAACAGCAACGGGGGCAGCATGTTTGGAGCCAGGGGTTAATTAATCACAGCGGCACGGCACTAAGTAACAAGACATATAGGACTATCAAGGATAGCATTAGCTAGCAGCATTATGAAAAGCACAGGCCTGGTCTAGCTATTACATGTGTTTCCACCCCGGTTCAAGATAAACTGGACAGTGGAACACTCTCATCAACAGATCAGCAAATAACGCTGTTTCACTAACAAAACATTTAAAACATTTAAAGCATATTAAACATTTAAAACATATTTAAGTAACCGGGGGCCAAACCCACCTAGCATAATCAATTGCAATTGTAATACAGCAGTAAAACAAAAGGGGTAATTCTGCCGCGGCCACCTGGTAAAAACTGAAACATCATCACATTACTGAATGTCTGTTCGAATCTGAGACTAGAAGTCCAAACTCAAGCATCAGGTGATAATAAGTCTTTAGTTAACAGAAAGTACGAGTAGCCCAAGTGGTATGATTGCCAACTGGGATTTGAAAACAAAAGGTGTATGATCAATATTTTTCTCATCACATATACGAAGGTGTATTGATTTAGTCGACCTCCTCAATCTTAGGGCCAGCACCACTCCCACCAGCAGCCGGAGCATCATCGTCCATTCCACCACCCATGTCGGCACCAGCACCCTGGTACATCTTGGCAATAATTGGGTTGCACAGGCCCTCCAGCTCCTTCATCTTGTCTTCGAACTCTTCAACCTCAGCGAGCTGGTTGTTGTCCAGCCACTGGATCGCCTGCTCGACCGCGTCCTCAATCTTTTTCTTGTCGTCAGCTGGCAGCTTGGAAGCAATCTTCTCGTCTTGGATAGTGTTCCTCATGTTGTAAGCATAGTTCTCCAGGGAATTCTTGGCGTCAACTTTCTTTTTGTGCTCTTCATCCTCGGACTTGTACTTCTCGGCGTCCTGAACCATCTTCTCTATCTCCTCTTTGCTCAGCCTTCCCTTGTCATTTGTGATGGTTATCTTGTTCTTCTGGCCAGTTGTCTTGTCTTCGGCAGACACATTCAGGATACCGTTGGCATCAATGTCAAAGCAGACAGTGATCTGAGGGACTCCCCTAGGGGCAGGAGGGATTCCAGACAGCTCAAATTTGCCAAGGAGATTGTTGTCCCTGGTCCGTGTCCTCTCACCCTCATAGACCTGAATCAACACACCAGGCTGGTTATCGGAGTAGGTGGAGAAGACCTGCTCCTTCTTGGTAGGAATGGTGGTGTTCCTTGGGATGAGCACTGTCATCACACCTCCCGCTGTCTCGAGACCAAGAGACAGTGGAGTCACATCAAGGAGAAGAAGATCCTGCACCTTCTCGTTCCCCTCTCCACTAAGGATAGCAGCCTGGACGGCAGCACCGTATGCCACAGCTTCATCAGGGTTAATGCTCTTGCAGAGTTCCTTCCCATTGAAGAAATCCTGCAGAAGCTGCTGAACCCTAGGGATTCTAGTTGAACCACCAACAAGGACAACATCATGGACAGTGCTCTTGTCCATCTTTGCATCCCTCAGGCACTTCTCCACAGGCTCCATACATTTCCTGAAGAGGTCCATGTTAAGCTCCTCAAACCTGGCTCTGGTGATGGTGGAATAGAAATCAACACCCTCAAAGAGGGAATCAATTTCAATAGTAGTTTGGGCAGTGGAGGAGAGGGTCCTCTTTGCCCTTTCACATGATGTTCTGAGCCTCCTCAAAGCCCTGGGGTTCCCGCTGATATCCTTCTTATGCTTTCTCTTGAACTCTTGGACAAAGTGGTTCACCAGGCGGTTGTCAAAGTCCTCCCCACCAAGGTGAGTGTCACCAGCTGTTGCTTTCACCTCAAAAATACCCTCCTCAATGGTAAGGAGGGAGACATCAAAAGTACCACCACCAAGGTCAAAAATGAGCACGTTCTTCTCACCAACACTAGTCGCCTTCTTGTCAAGACCATAAGCAATTGCAGCAGCTGTTGGCTCATTGATGATACGCATAACATTAAGACCCGCAATAACACCTGCATCTTTAGTTGCCTGCCTCTGGGAATCATTGAAGTATGCAGGAACAGTGACAACAGCATTCTTCACAGTTGACCCTAGGTAAGCTTCAGCGATCTCACGCATCTTGATAAGAACCATGGATGAAATTTCTTCGGCAGAGAATTGCTTCTCCTCACCCTTGTACTGCACTACAATCATAGGCTTATCCCCTGGGCCAGGAATAACCTTGTAAGGCCACATCTTGATATCGCTCTGGACAGAGGCATCAGAAAACCGTCTGCCGATAAGACGCTTGGCATCTGCAAAGTGAAAGATGTATTCAGAAATCTCAATTGGATATATTGGCATTAATCAAGAAAAGGTAATTGTTAACATGAATAGAAGATAAAGAAGTTAAGATAATAAAGATGATTGCAAAATATTATTCATGTCCTTGCTTTGAGTTGGACGAGAAAAGATAGTGAACCATTATAGTAGCGGACGAAAGAGACTGCTAATCTTATTGTTCATCACAAAGGTTTTGCCTGTTTTGCATTTATCAGCTAGATTTTTTTCAAAACAGGAAAGAAGCACAAGTTCAAGAACATCACAGCTGCTGAATGAAGCTGCAATGATCATAACAATTACAGCTCGCAAACAAGAAATCGTCAAGTAAAAAGTGTTGGTGGAATAGTTTTAAATCTAACAACATGCAAGATAACATTATCTGAATTCAATAAAAAGTCTAGTTTAAAACTTTATAGATAAATTAAAAATAAGCCAATTGTGACTATCCTGGTTTTCATGGTAATAGTAGCCTACTTTAATCAGCAGGTACCTTAAAATAGAGAATTAAAACAACAAATAAAAAATTAAATAATACCAACAAAAGCAAATAACCAAACAATACAAACAAAAGCAGATATCCTAAATTATTTCTCAAGAACAGTATTTACTTTCAATACACCAGCCTGCTTTCATAACAATTCTAATTTATGAGCAATAAAACGTTGAAAATTGAGGGTATAAGCATAAATGCGAAAATATACAACGTTTATTGGCGCTTTTACAAACACATAATATAGCTTAAGGTGTATGGGTGAAACTTAATTATATTTAATGCCCGGACATTTGCAAGTAATGTACTAACTAAATTCCTGTGGATCAAAACAGGTTGTGCAATGGCGTCAGTTACTTTTGGGAAATAAACCTGTTGAATAACAATCTTCAGCATATGCAGAAACTAAAATGTATATATAGCCTACTTACATGAGAAAAGAAAGTATAATCAAGAGCAATGAGAAACAGAGCAGCAAAAAATAATCTAATATAATTTATAGCTGTGCAATAATCAATTTAAACAAAGAAAAAACAGATACATTCCAAGCGGCTGGATCCATTCCAAGTGGCTGGCTGTTGGTAGTGAGCAACTGAGCATAGCAAACCATTCAATAAAGCATGAAGAGAACTATTGAATATGACGAGTTGCACACCTAATACAGAATGGATTACTAAGATAATTGACATGCAGCTTTTCAGTCACAAAAGGACAGTTTGACTCTCATTTATCAGGAATAACAGCCAACTTTAGTTCCATTTTTTTGACATCCTAAGCATGATTCAGAAAGCACTTTCATGTAAAGGCCTCTCTGTTTCATTAATTCTAATTCACACTAGGCCCTAACAGCACCATAGCAATGCAATGTAAAAATAAGTGCAAGTTGCCACACGCCGACTGATTCAATCTTTCCCTTCCATAACATCAACATATGCAAATAGCAGTTCAGTCCAAAAGTGACAGCACAATTTTATAGGGAGACAAAGAAAGAACGTACATGAAAGAACTGTACATGATTACAAACAACTGATTCTTCTATCCAACAGTTCTGATTGAAACTAGAGTGATTATTTTCTACCGGCAAGTTCCTACGTGGCCAACAAATCAACAACACAGAGCCATAGAAATTAATCGACTATGCTCCTGCTATATAGATCTACCTTGTACTGAATATATTCAGACGTCACTATGAAATTATATAATAATGATGGTGATAAAATCAGTGGTGTAATCTTAAAAAATTTCAGCGCGTGCTCTTCCCCAGCCCAACGAAAAAACTGTGATACCAAATCACCAGTCGTTTTCTGTTAAAAACATCGCCTATTTTCACCTACAATATCATAATGCAGATCTTATTCCGCCTACCGGCTAGTACATCAAGCATTGCGTCTCTCGCATTGGAGCAGTGCTAAACATGTACTAGACTTGACGGATCTAGCAAATCGGGCATCACATTACGCGAAACACAGATCACACATCTAGTCGCAACAGTACACAGATCGAATCAGAAACAGGGCAAAAGCGTCGTGGCGTTACTCACCGAAGACGGTGTTGATGGGGTTCATGGCGACCTGGTTCTTGGCGGCATCCCCGATGAGGCGCTCGGTGTCCGTGAACCCGACGTAGGAGGGGGTGGTGCGGTTCCCCTGGTCGTTGGCGATGATCTCGACGCGGTCGTGCTGCCACACCCCCACGCACGAGTAGGTCGTCCCGAGGTCGATGCCGATCGCTGGCCCCTCCCCCTTGGTCGGCGCCATGGCTCCTCCTCCCGCTCGCGGGTCGCGGCGGCGGCGCGAGGAACGAGTGAACGAGGAGAGAGAGAGAGGAGGCTAGGGTTTCCGCGGATGCGGGAGGAGGAGTGGAGGAGAGGAGGCGAGTGCGGCTGCGGCCTCCGTGTGCGGCGGCGAGGCGGTGCTTTTATAGTGGCGGGCACGGTCGGCCTCTTCCCCTCCCGGAATCGCGGGGGCGTGGCCCATCCAGGCCCAGTTCGTACATTAAACTATTGTTACTGCAAGTTGGGCCCCCACAGGTCAAATGTCCATGTAGTAGGAGTAGGAGTACTCCATTTTTCACGCGTATCGAGCATGGTTTCTCTCTCTGCAGGTGGGGTCCCAGTTGGGCTCCCACAGGTCAAGTGTCGATGTAGTAGGTGTATTTTTCACGCGTATCGAGCATGGTTTCTCTCTGCAGGTGGGGTCCCGAACATTCGTGTACACCAGTGGGTCCCACGTACAGCCTCTGAGAGGTGATCTTTCGTTATGTGTGGCGGACTTGTGGGAACGAGTCGTTTGGTCAGGGAGTGGGTGCCAATATTTGGGGAAGAAGTTTCTACGGACAGAGGCTTTTTTGTGGACAGGATCAGTAATATGCGCATAAAGCACTCTTTGATGTCGCTACAACCATTTGATCGCGTTCGAAGGGTTTGGATTAACCGGACGACTCACGCAGCTTGAGTTATCACACAACAACTGAACAATGCTGGTATGGATCATCCAATAAGCTATGTTGGGGTTACAGTCAAAGTTCCAAAGGTCTTCGGACCCATCAGCTGCCCTAAAAAGAATAAGCCAAAGTTAAATTTTAAATTTAAATTTTAAGATCTTTTTAACATAGTTTCTTTTTCAACATACTCCCTCTGTTTCAAGTTATTTACGTTTTGATTTAGTCAAAGTCAAACTGCTTTAAATTTGACTAAATTTGTAGAAAAAAGTAGTAACATTTTTAATCCAAGACAAATTTACTATGAAAATATATTTAATTATTGATTTGATGAAACTAAGTTAGTATTATAAATATTACTATATTTGTCTACAAACTTAGTCAAACTTAAAACAGTTTGTCTTTGACTGAAGTCAAAATGTCTTAAAACCTGAAAAGGATGGAGTATCTTTTAAATCGCTAAGAATGCATATAAAAAAGTTTTACATGCAGTTTTTTTTAATAGACGTTGTGGCTTATAGTCACCTTCTGCGTAATCAATGAAACCCTTTGGCTAGTGTCGTGTCACGTGACTGGTTATTAGAGGCTACCAATGATACGGACGATACTAGCAAGAGTTGGAAGTAGGGAAGTTTAATGCATCGATGTCTTGGGATTCGTAACGCCAATATTTTCAACGGTATGGTGTGCTCATTTTCTTCATGTATAAATTAGGGTGGTTTGAAGTGCGAAAGGTAAAATATTGGTTAAATGATTATCAAAACAAGACAATGATAATAAAGTAACTAAAATGAAATGTACTCGCTTTCCTTTTATTTGTTAAGATGGTGGTTTGACGATCGTTCGTGCAGGTACAACTACATATCACATATCTAGGCTATATTATTTGGGTTGGACCAAGTTAGTGTTTGGTACATTGGCATTTTTTCTTTGGAATTGTGAGATTTTTTTCGAAAAATTTCCAACCGATTTCTAATAGATAGTAGTTTATGTTTATGAGAAAAAAATTCAAATTCATTTATGTTTTAAAAAATTTCAAAAAAATATATCTCCCTATTCCTAAAAATAGGACAAAAGCAAATACTTTTCACCGGTTTCACGCTAAGCATCTAATGTCTCGGAGCCTCATCGGTTACCCATATTCACTAATAAATCAAAACTAATAAATCAAAACAGCTTATCAAGAATAAAAATCATTTTAGAAGTAAAACTTTTATATATCTATCCATCAATACTAATAAAAATAGGTTAAAAATATCTAAAAATCAACTACGAAATCAAATTTAAAAAATTTAATTTACTTATTGGGTGCTCTCGATTATTTTCCCCGTCAGTTGACAGGCAGAGACAGAGACAAGGAGGAGGTCGTGCGAGACCGCGAGAGGCGTGTGCGCCGTGCGCGTGTCCTCTGCCCCTTCCCTTCTCCCCATCTCGCCTCGCTCCCTTCCCTTCTCTTGCCCACCGCCACCGCCCCGCACCCACCCACCTCTGCCTAGATCCGTCTCCACCATCGATCTCCCTCCCATCCCCGGATGCGCAAGGTGGAAGGCAAGATCGAACCCTAACCGGCGACGGAGGAGGAGCGGCTCCACCACCACCACCTCGAAGGAGTTGACAGGCGGGGGATGGATTCTGCAGCGTGATTTCATTTGTGGTTGGTACGGAAGCCCTAATGCAGCATGCTTGGATTGCTCGTAGGGTAATTTGTTGTTTGAGCAACCAATCTAATTTGTCCTGTCCAATCCATCCTGCTATTTGTGGGTTTTGTTGGATTGCTCTCATACCAGCTTGTTTCCCAAAATTTTGGGGGAAAGTACATAACCTGCTTTGGGTCGGGTTTCCGACGATTAGTGGGAGATACTCTGATTGTGTTTGATTAGTAGCTAGGTGCCATATTGTTTGGACTTGGTGGTAGTATAGATGGAGATTTTTCGTCATAAATTGGGAGAACTGGATAATTAGAGTCCCCCTATGTTGCTTGGATCATTTTTAGTATTATTATTGTTTTTGCTGGGAGATTTATATGTATGATAGTGCTGGACCGTATGCTTCCATTGTAGCTAGATAAAGATCAGTTATAGAACCAAGAGAAGTGACATTCATATCAGACAATATATCCATATCTCATTTCACCATATAGTTAGGAATAGTCAATGAAGACTGTTCTGTTTGCTGGTTTGATTCTTAAAAAGTTAGTATCAGTATTTTTTTTGTTTACTTTTCTAACACCTCATGCTGATGGGATTCACTTCTTGTTTGTTTTTTCAGCTCCATTTCCTGCTGGTTCGATGCAACTGCTTTGTAACTGTTGATTGATGTGGTGATACATTTCAAAACCAGGGATTAGATTCTGTTTATGCCTATGCTTCATAAATCATAACGATGGCCAGTTCAAGCAAAAACTTCCAGTCATCAAGCAAACCAGGCAGTGACAGGAAGTACCAGGGTGCATTGGTTGCTTCTCCAGCAAAAGCCATTTCACCCAAGACAGTCAAGCAGATCGTGCCAGGAAAACATTTAATCTTGAGCGGGGAGTCTACAAGTCATCTGGCATCTTTTTTGGTAAAGGTTATTGCCTTGGAAGTAGTAAGAAGATTTTCAAAAGCAAGATGCCCTTTTATATGGAATTCTATTCAAGCATTGCAAGTTCTTGGGTACCCTCCATTTAGGTGGATTCAACAGTGGGCGCCACTCAAATTTATTGTGCAAGGCATTCAGGTTGTTTTACCTCTCGGTCCTTCAAGGCCTTAACTCTCTTTTTTTAGATAATGGAAGTAAAGACCTTGATTCTCTTGATTTCCTAGATACACACAATTATTTTTCTTCTATCAGCTTGTGCTTTTGAAAATTGCTTGCTTAAATGAGATATATTTCTCTTGTTGCCTCTCAACTAAGTAGCAATTACCAATAAGAACTGTCACTTATGTTGATTGTAGCATTTTATATTCCACTTTTGACACTTCTGGTTGCAACCATAACATGCACCAGGTTCAGATGCAAGCCACACACTCTGTCCACTTAATCATGCTCAACCTGGACTTAAATTTTCACGGAGAAATGAATATAGGTCCAGCACTATTATTCTTCACATAGGCTTTTAGGCTGCTATAATTTTCTTTTCACCATTACTATATTCTTTGCTGACAGCAACACTAGACCATTGTATTACAGGTTTTTACATATGAACGATTCCATTTGGCTTGGAGTTTGTTTTGGCATAGGTTATCTATTTATCATGCATGTTGGGCTTTTTGAAGCATGTTCTGGGCTTCCACTTAGTTAAAGATTAAGAAACTAGAAATGACCATGTCTTACAATTTCTTGCGACGTATGTTAGCTACTTACTGAGTTAACATAGTGAATCCCAGATCAATTCATGTGAATAATATGATGGATATGTCCATCTATGCTAGACTAAACCTGCTTCAATCCTCGTTTTGAACATGGTTGTGGGTTTTTACTAGTTTGATGAATTGGTGCACTGTGACACTTCTGCTATGCTGTTTCACTTGTTTCTTTAATAATTTCTTTCTGAATATTTTTCTCCTATACAGAAATTATCGACACCACTGTTGTTTCTTTCTGTCACAACAACATTATGTGACCGGTCCTCTAAGCGCAATGATGAATTGGGTAGCAATACAGAAGCTCCTGATGTACCTTCTGAATCAGATGAAACAGCATCAACTTCTGGTATAAGGTTGGTTAAGACTAAAGAAAGAAATACTAGAAGTATCTCTTAGCTGAGGAATGTGTTGCTAGCTTCTTTTCATTGAATCATAGCGTTCTAGTTCTGACCATATCACATCACAATAATGAAATAAACTTACGGAAAGAGGGCTAAATTTTCATCTAGTGTTTTATTTCTTGTTTTAGGGATGTTGCTGATGGCACAAAGGATACCGAGCCAGATAACTGGCTCATATCACTGTTCAAGGAACTTGAGAAACAAGGCATCACTTTGCCTGAAAGGTAAATCTAAAAGTTTGTTTGTTTTTATGAACGATACATTTCTATATGTATCAATTATTCCCATCCAGGGTGCAGGATTAAAAAAATACAACATCTTGAAATGGATTTTCTAATGCAGCTCTTGTTATTGTGATGTATCCAGTACTAAAAGTGCCAACTTACATATAAGAGTGGGAAGTGCACAGATGTGTACAGAAGTGTGATATAGGTCAAATAAAGCTTTATATATTTTGAATTTCATGAGTTGTATCTTGTGGGTATAGCTGAGGGTTTCAGGCTATGTAAGCCTAGTTTGGTGTATGAGCTGGTGTTGAGCTTATTTGCATTGAGCTTAGTGTTCAAACATGTCTTTCTGTGCGATTCTGAAGTCTTGTTATAGTTGTATATACACACCAGTGCCCTGAGCTGCAAAAATGACATATAGCTGAGAGAATTTACCTTATGGACATTTCAGGTTCAATGAGGATGAACTACGCAGATTTTACATTGCAGCCAATGGTGACTTTTCAAGTTTGCTCTCTTCAGTTAAGAAGACAATTCGTTGGAGGGAAACCTTCCATATACTTACATTGCACGAACTCGAGAAGTGGTCCCATTTAGTTTTTTGGCATGGATTCGATACTATGCTTCGGCCCTGTTTAATAGTCCGTCTTGGTCTTGCATGCTCTAGTCTAGCCCCTTCTGATAGACCTCGGTTTGGGCAAGCAGTAGGTAACTTCTCAGCCTGCTCTATACACCCATTCATTTATGTCCTAGATTGTCTTCATGTGATAGTTTTTATCATCTTTGAACTGGGAAGGAACATATAGTGTGGGAAATTGCTTTGTTGCTTGCAGTAAGATATTTTCTTTTTCAATAAATATGGTTCATCTAGCAAGATACTGTCCATCAGCAGTTAGTTTGACAGAAAGAAGGCCATCTTTCTTTAACAACATTGTCTATCCAAGTTTTGAGCAGATAATAGGATTCTGTCCGGCTGATTTACCAAGAGGATCACTAATAGTAATCTCTAACATTTTCTTTTCAGTTTCTCAAATCGACAATGGTATTGTATACTTGACCAACAAAGAAGATCCGAGAATAACTGTTTTGCTGGATTGTCATGGGATTTCTCCATTCAGATTTCCAATGCAAATGATGAGGTCGTTTATCACTATAGTTCAAGAAAACTATCCAAATCGTCTTGGGGTACTATTTATTGTGCGTCTTCCTCCTGTTGTCAGAGTAATTGCGCAGACTCTTATTCAGGTAACTTTCTCCACCTACATGTCATCTCAATAACTATTTAACTGTCCCCACTGACCACAAATGAACAAGAGCATGTCCCACAGACATTTGTTAGGGGGGGCATAGTTCATTCATGAGCACAATTGCTTGAGTTTTGACTACTTGGACTATCTGCCTAAACAAGGATGGCTACAAATCAGAACTAGCATTAGTTATGACTGTGAGATGACAAACAATTGTGTCCTGCTTCCTCACCACATCTAATGTTACTTATATGTTCTTTCTAATCTACCTAGGTTCTGAAACCATCCACAAAGCAGAAGTTGCGTTTTGAGGGAGAATCATATAAGAAGACATTAGCCGAGTTCTTGCAGATTGTGCCAACTTTTCTTGGTGGCAAATGCAGCTGCCCGCAATGTGAGAAGCCGCGTAATATTTCAGTAATACAGGCAGGGGAAGGCAGCAAGAGCCAACCTCGCCAGATAACCATTGATGATGGATCACCTGTCGCAAGCATGAACTTTGATGAGGCGGAGCTTCCATCTCCTTATAGCTGCGAGAATGCCATAAGGGCTGCCATCATTGGTGTTCTAATGCTGTGGGTCTTCATTGCATTTCTCGCTGGGATGAACGACCCAGAGTCCATCTCGTCCCATGCCCCCTAAAGGGCCTTGCATTTTTTTGCCATGTCAACCAGGATCCACAGAACCACCTGAGCTGTCAGTTGTCTTCCATTTGCATCTGTGGTTGCTAGAGGCGTTTTTCATAGCAGATTTTCGTGGTCTGTACTATGTGCGCCACATGCTAAAGCATCAAAAGAGTATCTTCGAGTCGCTCACTGGGAGGTCATATGAGGTGTGCGATTCAGCATTACCTTGAAATAGTCAGTTAGAACAAGACAATTCCTTGTTTTGTTTTGGTGCCATCTTAGTATATATAGTAGTATTAGTTTGTCTGTAAGTTTGCCGACTTGTCAGTTTATCGTGGGTGGCTATATAGTATCTAGAAGATGGTTCTTACACTTAATACTTCCTGGAAAATTCTACGAACGCTACTTGAAAACTGGAATTTCTCATCTGAGAAGCCAGGTCCCTGTGCTATGTATGGGTGAACGGAGAATCCAGTCTGGTGCTGAACTACTAATGAATGAATGCACGTGCTTGTCGAACTCCTAAATAATATCTTTTTTAAATAAAATCTTTCTACATATGATTTTCTTGTAATCTGTTCTAAATCTATTTTTAACATTATAATAGTTATTTGTTTATTTGTACCTTAAATAATTATCACGTATCCTTGGGCTATTCAGATATTCAGCTCAAGAACACGGCCGTCAGATCATGTGTGGACGGTCACGATTACCAAGAAGCTTAAGGTTCCGTTGGTTTATTTTGGGACGGAGGAAGTAGTCGTATAGACTCTTGTATAACTCGCCAGTGTCCTTGTTCTAAAATGTCAAATATTTAGGATCCTTATCATCAAAGTTTTTGATCGAATTTTGTTCTAAAATGTCAAATATTTAGGATCCGGAAAAATATTTTGGGAAGGAGAGTATAAAAATATAAACACTTTACTTTATCATATATCCAAACTTTTTAAGAACCTGTTTGATAACTTACATAAATAAAATGAGATGCATATCATTTCTCGCAATATAGCTGGGCAGTTGTAAAAATTGATACAGTCGAAGTCAAACAGCCGGTGATGAAACTAGGTATATGGATAACAACATAGGAATGTTCGCTGTCGATGGATTGTGTGAGCAAGCCAATGGTAAGGTATAGTTTCCCGCGGTAGCATTTCCTTTTAATTGGTATTATTTGCTCAATCCAACACACTCCAATTGAACAGCTAGGTTGTCCGGTGTAGAAAATGTTACAAGAAAGCACCGCCGAACCTCCCAATGCTTAAAAGTCAACATAGTCATATATTTAAAAACGAAATAAGTAATTATTTTTTATTTGAAATGATATTATAGCCCACTTACTCTGTAATAAAAGTAGAGGGATTTTACTCTACTACTCCCATACAGTATATGTAGTGAAAGGTTTTTTCACCAATTGTACCACAGACAAATCCAAACCAACTTTAAAGTTGGGTTGAGTGAAAGTGGCAAAGGAGCAATTTCCTCGAACCCTACCCTAACGCCATTCCCCACCCCAGCAGCAGCAGCAGCAGACGCCAGTCACCTCGCAATCTCACGCGGTCACCCGCCGCATGACCGCGGCTCGATAGCGCCGCCGCCTCGCCGCCGGGCGTCCTCCTCCCCGGCGCCACCGCGTCGGCCTCCCTCCCCTCCCCTCCCCTCCCCTCCCCTCCCCGAGCGCCCACCGCGTCGACCTCCAACCCCCGGGCCCCCACACCGCGTCCTCTTCGAGATCCGCATCCGCCCCCGCCGCCGCCTCTTGTCCTCTTCCCCGGCCGCCGCTGTTCCTCGATCCTGATTTGCTGGTGGCCGGCCGCCGGCGGAGCAGCCCGGAAGGTCTACGGCGCGCCGGCGATGTCGCCCAGCACCCTCGCTGCGTCGACCAGTATGAAATGGAGCAGGTCAGTTTCGAACCCAAAAAATTGTAATCCATTTCATGAGCCGGCATGGACAGATTAGGGATCCATTTGGAATTCGATTGATGTTTCTCCTGTCGAATTAATTCATCCAGTTTCGTCCCGATTTGATTTACTAATAGCAATTCGTTTCCATTTTATTTATTTATTTGTGGTTCAGCTGAATCCCCAAGCCTCACTTTAGGTCTGCCGCTGTTACAATGAGTCCATCAAGGAGCAGGAGCAACAGCAGGAGCAGAAGCAGAAGCAGAAGCGGGAGCAAGAGCAAGAGCAAGAGCAAGAGCAGGAGTCGCAGCAGGAGCAGGAGCCGAAGCCGAAGCCCTCGGCGAGAAAGGCTGCGTAGTGAGCGTGTATCACGTCGCAGCCGCAGCCGCAGCCGTAGCCGTAGCCCAATTCGTAGAAGAGAACATCGCGGCCACAGGTGTGTCTCCAAATCTTGCTTGCAAGTGATGCTACATTGAGTTGTATATTTGCGTAGTTCTAGGAGCAGATGCCGGAGTAGGGTAGCTAAAGGCTTCATCTCTATTGCGAAGCTCAAATACCATGTAGATTACCCTGCTAAGTTCTAAAAAATTAGGAACTAAAAACCCACTTGTGTAAAATTATACTAGCCCAGCCCTAGGTGAGAGCTAAATCTGGCTCCGCCCCTGCACGGGGTGTTTATATTACCTGAATGGTACATCCAATAATAACATTGAGTTCACACAATTTTTGTTTGCCTCCATTATTGTGTTCATTGTCTGCTCTTCACTACATTTTGGTCATGGACATACGTTAGCTCCATTGAGGGAAATGGATTGTTAACCAAAATTTGGCTTGTGGTCAACTGGTCACGGAGGTGTTAGGATAATTGCATGGCAAATGTATGGTAGGGTTGGCGAAAAGCCCAGAGGAAGAAAGAGAAACATGTTAATTTATTTAGTTGTTCTGCCAATCCCCCAGACTTGACCCACCTCAACCCCCAAGGTATTATAAAGCTTGTTTCAGGGTTCAGTCCTATTAAGCTATAACTATGAAGTAAGTTTAAACTTATTAAAGCATAATATCTTTGAACTGCTGGTTCAATGATCCAACCATTATTCAGACCTATTAGACGTTGAATTGGTCATGTAACCAGTTTTTAGAATCTGTGGTATGGATTCTGGAGGGGCCTTTACTGTTTCCATCAACAAATATAGCATGAAAAAAAATCTAAATGGTAGGGCTTAACTAGTGGGATAAATGTTGAGAAATTTTAAGAAAAAAAACTATTATTCATCAGGGCCTGACGTTGTCATCTGTAGTTCTCTGGTACAAATTTGAGAAACAAGGCTAACTCAGTATCAGGAAGTATGGAATGTAATAACCGCAACTCTGTTACAATGCCTTAACAGCGCCCTCACTGAACTGTGTTATATTTGTGATAACTAGCACATTATTGAAAGTATTTCAAATCAGACAATGCTATTCTGAAGCAAATGCAATGATGTTTTCCCCCATCAGTATGAGCCCTTGGCAGTTGTCCCACTACATGTATTATGTATAATGGTGTGCACTTGTAATCCATGATCCACTTTTCAAATTCCAATCACATTAAAGACCTGAGCACAAATTTACTTAGTGCAGATACACCATGTATATCCACTAGAAAGTGTCAATTACTCGTGTCATTTATAAATCTATGCTCTCAATTAAGAAGACACATGCCCTTTGAATCTAGTTATGCCAAATGTGTTTTTTTTTCTGTATATTGGAGTACAATCTGTCGAACCCTCAAGGGAATAACCATGTTAATATGAATAATTTTCCAGGGATCTTATATGCAAGAATTGCAGGAGGCCTGGTCACTTTGCTAGGGATTGCCAATCTACTGCTACATGCAACAGATGCAATCTTCCAGGGTAAAATGAGATGAAACACTCACTTAATGTAGCTGCATCTGCTTCATTTTGGGGGGAATCTAGATGTTGTTATCATTAAGTGTTTCGGGCCTAGTACTGTTAACTTGCTCTTGTGTTCCATTTTCTGCTGCCATCTTTTAGTCTTGGAAATATATTGAAGAAAGTGCGCTAACTTCTTTTTGGGCGTTATTTTAAACAGACACTTCGCAGCAGAATGCACTTCTGAAACTGTTTGTTGGAACTGCAAGCAGTCTGGCCACATTGCTACCGAATGCAAGAATGACGCCCTGTGTCACACCTGCAGCAAGACAGGTCATCTGGCACGTGATTGCCCAAGTTCAGGATCTAGTAAGCTATGCAACAAATGTTTTAAGCCAGGCCACATTGCTGTTGACTGCACCAACGAGCGGGCTTGCAACAACTGTCGTCAGCCTGGGCACATAGCTCGGGAGTGCACGAACGAGCCTGTTTGCAACCTGTGCAATGTCTCTGGGCATCTTGCTCGGAACTGTCAAAAAACGACCATTTCTTCAGAGATACAGGGCGGCCCTTTCCGTGACATTACCTGCCGCTTGTGTGGCAAGCCAGGGCACATCAGCCGCAACTGCATGACAACCATGATCTGTGGCACCTGCGGTGGGAGGGGTCATATGTCATATGAGTGCCCATCTGCAAGGATGTTTGATCGTGGGCTCCGCAGGTTCTGATGACAGCCATCCATACGCACTGCTGGTTCTGATGCTCGGAATTTCGCATTGTTCCATTGATTCTGCTTAGATAGCTTGCTTGACTATACCGAAACGGTTCTTTTATACCTTTTGCTCTCTGGGAGTTGAGGAATGATTCTGTAGGATGTATTTGGGTGAAACTTTTGCTTGTGTTAATCAGGGTGTTGTAGCCTTTCGTGGGGGAACAAAATGATGTATCTTCCCAAGAGAGACATCCAGAAAAACTGCTTTGGTAGACCAGGCCATATCAAGTATTGTGCATGACTGTTTGAGCTATTTGACTCCTCCAAGCTTGCTCCTCCCCACTGACTGTTGCGTCGAGTTGTCCTCATTGTTCTGTATTCTCATATTATCTTCCTGGAAGAAAAGTTGACGAGTGAGATCAGGATAATCAGATTATGACAGTTCTCTGATGGTCTTTGCCTTTAGGCTGATTTGGTTAAGGAAAAAAAGCTCACATCTTCCTAAAAACATTGCGTTTGCCCAAAGAAAATTTATAGTTCATATTTGCATATTTTGATTATGTGTTTTGTATTTTTTTTAAACCTTTTCCAGTTCATATTTTGATTATGTTTTATTTTTTTGTCTTTTCCCAATTTTTATGCATTTGCCCAAAGAAAATTTACACTTCATATTTAGATTATTATTATTTTCTGCATTTTGCCAAAGAAAATTAGCACTTCATATTTTGATTATGTTTTTATTTTGTCCCACAAGCGCATTTTCCCAAAATCACACATCATATTTTCCCACAAGTGAATTTGCCCAAGAGGTTATCTTTTAATTTAGTCCCACAAGTGCATTTGGCCAAAGCCAAAGTCACGTTGTATCCAACAAAAAGAGGGGAACTATCTTTATCTTTTAATTTTGTCCCACAAGTGCATTTGCCCAAACCGCACTTTCATATTTTATCCAACAAAGAAGCAAACGAACCGAAACGCTACATCACTCAACCTTGATGAATAACATAGAACCACACAAATCATCCAAAACATTTGATATTTATCAAAATAAAGAGCAAACGAACTGAAATGCTGTATTGCTTAACCTCGATGAGCTAACATAAACCACACAATCCTCCCGAAGCATTTTATACTTTATCAAATAAAGAGCAAACGAACGGAAACGCTGCATTACTCAACCTCCATGAGTAGTCAGAACCATACAATCCTCCCAAGGTGTCCATGAGAACTGAGAACATATCAGCAATTTATTCTGTAACTTGAACATTGACACATCTCAATTAAACTTGGAACAGTGCATCACAGGCCCATACATTCTGAGCGCAACAACGAAATACAGGATAGAGCCATATCTCCATGGTTCCATGAACAAACCCACAAACCATCAAGCAGTCTCACACTACCAAATTTATAGTGACACACAAATCCATAATAGACAAGTCCATATTGCAAGATCATGAAAGGCATGGCAATGCTTATTTCACACGATCTTTGAGCGCATCGAGACTGATTTCGCCGGCGTCAGTAGCCTGCACTTCCAACTGAATGCCATTCAGCTCCTTCTTGAATCTTTCGTTGGAGCTAGCATAAAGCATCTTGCTCCTCACTTTTGCATTGTCTGGGGACCTTCAATTCAATCACAACATATCTCATAAGCGGTAAGGGTAGGCCTACAGTAAAGTAACTATGGAATAGACGGGGCACAGAAGCAATACCATAAGATATAGAATATCCTGCTCTTTGGCACATCCTCTGCAGTAAGGAAGTCAAAGTCATAGATTGCAAACCGGCAGTCCCCTTCAGGCAGGCTGCTAGTGAAATCCTCATAGCTTGTTGTGCGATCCCCAATCTTGTCCACAATGATCTCTTTCCCCTTGTTATCCATCATGAAAGTTATGAAGCGGTGCATCCTTTTGGACTGTAGCTCATTGAACTTCAGCTTGCAATCATCATGAATTGCAACTCCAGATGATGAATTTGCCTGTGTGTAATGTAACATCATGTAAGGAAATCTATGTCAGTTCATAGTTACTCGAGTAATTCAACCTTGACCTTTTCCTTCAAACAATATAAACTCGTGTGAACTTAGCATTCAACATATGCATGCAGTTGCTTCACCTCTTATAGCGTTGCCAATTATAATTTACATCCTAAAATCAGACTGTTCTTCAGTTTATTCAGGTAGAGCTTTATCGTTTTTAATTAGTTAATCCGCTGTAGTTATTTGTTCTCTCAAACCTGATGGGGAGTCTCAATATAAAACTAGACTGGTGGTGCTACCGTGCTACTGCTACCTCAACAGATGTGCCCCCAAATTAAACAATTTAGGGATTAATAGGAATGTTCATTAAACACTATGCAATTCAATTGGCATGGTCGAAAAGACCAATGAGAAAATATCCAGCCAGTAATAGGCAAAGAGGTGTGTGCCATATGAGACCAAATGATAATATCTAAACCATCAACACACACTCCAGTATCCATATCTGCAGGCGAAGGTCACAACAAAAAAAAAAGATGAGTGATACAGTGTGCATGAAGATGTTCGATTCAAAGGTGAATCCTGTTCTATGCAATCCTTTTCATGCACATTCACTGTTATTTTTGCAACAGTTATTACACCAAGTGCCACATACAAAGTTGCAAATTGGCAGCAAAAGGACATAAAAAGGATTGTATGAAATAATTTTTACAAGCTATGACTATCATGCAAGGATATGGACTACAAAAATATGGATGCTGACGTACTGTATCATATAGTCTACGTTTTGTGCACGGTCACTTGTTGCTGGTGGTTTCATCAGTGCCAATTGGAAGGTGTAGTCATTGCACTAACCATTCCCTTGTTAATGGCACACGTCCATAGGGATCGCATTAAACCACATTTAGCTGTCTTATACCAGAGATATCCCCATAAGATCAATAGAATCAGTGGGATCTGAATAAACTGAAGAATCCTGATGAGAAACAACATGCAGCAACACACTCTTTTCGCTGCTAATTCCAGAAAGGCTAGCTGGCAGCTATCTCATCATATCTGGACATATTGCAGTGGTCTAACCTCAGTCAGCATGTGATCCAGATACAGATCAACTTAAATTCCACGACTACTCGACGTCTGACGATCTGAATCTAACAATCTGGAGCTCATCAGCTAGAAGCTGCCAGATTCCCAGGCTTAAATCTACATCCACGCGAATCTCATCACACCGCCCCCGCATGTGTGCTTTGACTTGGTTCCGCTAATCTCAAGACCGGACAGTGTCACTCCAACAACCCAAGCGAAGACCTCACCGATCGACGAGAAGACAACATCCAAAATTCCTCACGATCCAGTCGGCGGCGATGAGAAAAACATCAAACCTTACCCCGCCGCAACATAAAGGAACAGCCGATCCACAACCGGAAGGGCCCCAAATCCCCCTCGATCCACCTCGATTCACGACCACCACACCTACTATCCCGCTTCTACGCCCCCCAAACTCCACCAAAAATCAACCAAAGGAACACAGCCACGAACCCCGGAACCGATCTGAAACACATCTACCGAAACCGACGCAAAACATCGCAGACACACGGGGGAGGGGGAGGAGGAGGAAGAGGAGAAGGAAGGCGTACGTACCATTGCTGAGCTCGGAGGGGAAGGGAGGGGAGCGGAATCGGCGGCGGCGGCGGCGGAGGCGGCGGCGCAGCAGCAGCAGCAGCAGCAAAGGGGAAAGCGAGACGCTTCTGCTACTGCAGCGAGCTCGGGCTTTTGTTCTCGTGTCTTTGTGTTGTGTTTGATGGAGTCGCCGCGGCGTCCACTGCTCCCAAGTTCCCAACCCAAGTGGTTGGCCTACCTCTACACGCCTCCGCGGTCGTCGGATTCCCGGATGGACGGCTGAGATGAGGCGTGACGGCCTATCATTGCTGCCGAGAAAAGTTGTCCAGGCGAAATGTCCTTGCTAAAAGCGAGATTTTTTCCCCCGTATTTTATTTATTTATTTTTATATTTTATTTTACCCTTTTATAGAGGACACGTCGTTATATGCTTGTGCTGATCTGTTCCATGGACGAAATTAAGGTGCAAGCGCGATCGACCGATCACCGGTTTAATCGTCTCTTTATTATTCGCGTAATGTAAATTAACCACACACGTACACAATCCAAACACCAAGCAAGCCGTACAAACCACACATACACATGGGCTGCAATGCCAACGTAATTACTTGGAAAATCGAGGTAATTAACGGCGTGATTAATTAGGAGGTGTGGTCCTTGAGCACGTCGAGGGTGAGCTCGCTGGGGTCGGTGGCCTGCAGGTCGATCTGGACGCCGTCGAGCTCCTTCTTGAACCCTTCGTTGGAGCTCGCGTACACCATCTTGCTCCTCACGTCCGCCGCCGCCGGCGACCACGACACGAAGAAGATCTTGCTGCGCGGCGCCTCGCCGCCCTCGCCGGCGGCCGCCGTGGCCGTGGCGTCGCTGACGGTGAAGTCGTGGTCGTACACGGCGTAGCGGCAGCCGTCGGCGGGGAGGCTGGCGGTGAGCTCGTCGAAGCCGGCGTCGCGTGGGCCCACCCTGTCGACCACCACCTGCCGCATCGCGTCGTCGATCTTGAACACCACGAACCTGTGGGCCCGCCCCGCCCTCAGCTCCTGGAACCTCGCCTTGCACTCCTCGCTCACCGCCACACCCGACGTCGCGTTCGCCTGCACAAACACACGCATAAAGTTCTGAATTCTGAAACTTCGAACAAACTGATCACTGAATTATGACCAAATCAGTGAAGAACTGATCACTGAATTCTTGGCAAATTCAGTTGGCAAGACAACAACCTGAATTCTGAAGCAGTGAGCAGCTTTATCATGCTTACCATGTTTCGTTCGAAGTGTCCTGGAGAATGCTCTGAAGAAGTCTGAAGAAACAATTAGTTGGATTCTGCAATGGTCGATCAGAAGTTCGCAGAAAGTAGTTGCAATTGAAGATTTGCACTCAGTAGCTTGTGAGTGTTTTATCAGAATATTGGATCCTTTAATAGGATGTCCGAGTCCTTTTCGAAGAAATAATTTAGAGGGAGATGTGTACACGTGTGAGCATACTGTGGCTTTGTTAGTTTTGCTCTGGGATAGATGGTTCCAGTCTTCCAGATGGTGTCTTGACGTGGCAGCAGGAAGCCTAACTCAAGCCACAAACACTCTCCCAGCCAAAACTGAAACTACAAAACTCCAAATTCCGCTTGTGCGTCGTTTCTCTCACAAGCTTCTCTTGATTAATTCAAATCAGCTACGTCTTGCTGACTGAACTAGTCATGACGTTGAAGCTTTCCATATGCGATCAGAAATGATAATAATTAGCTCTAATACCGTTACAGCGAATTCATGATGAGTCCACGTTGTCATGCATATGTTGAGGATCGATGCGAGAAATATGACACCATGACAGTAAACAACTGAAAAAGCTTCAGAATTCGCAGCTGTTGCGTACTAATCGTCTGACCTGTGCAAGGTAGCTGCCCCGTCACACTTTGCTGTGCAAATGGACCAAATCCACCGAAACAAATCGGCCGGCCGGTGACTTTCCAGGACGGCACCGGCGCACCAGTTGCTCGTCGCCACCGTGTTTTCTTTTTATCAAGGGAAGAAACTCAACTGAAATGCGCCCAGCTTGGCATGTCTGTACTATGCACTGCCTTGACAGTGCCACGTACACAGACTCGAACGACTAGCCGCGTTTCCTTCTGATAGCTTGCGTATATGAGCTTTTCTGATCTGTGACGCCTGGTAAAGTGGTAATATCATGTACGGTCAATTCACCGCTGTTAGGCGTTACTAGCTGTGAGCCTGTGATGTCTGACAGACCATAGAATGGAATGGGAACCATCGGATTAGCTAATAACGGACGGTCATTTTTGTTCAGCACCTCAAACGTACACAAGAACTGTAATTCCCAGGGCGAAAAAAATTAAAAACGGCACTTATTAACCATTTCCCACCTCCACTGAGGAAAAAAAAAAGACTACATTTTTAAGCACATAGAGGTACCAATTTTAGATAAAAGTCTATGCCTATAATATTAATATATTTTTTAAAATATAATACTTATAATATATCATAGATGTCATCACTACAAGCTGAGCGTGCCACGTGGGGAAAAAACGACGTGTGGCATGGGAGCCAAATATATATGGTTCTCCTTATGCCCTTATCCTCAGCTTCTCCCGCTCCAGCTCTCTTCTCTTCCTCTCCATCCGCGCCTCTCCCCAGCGACCAGTGGTCGGCCTCGCACCCTCCCCCCCTCTAGTGCTTGGCAGCTAGAGGCCCCGTTTATCCCCAGCCCTCTTGTGTCGGATTCTTTAGTGACGGCAAGGGTGGTGGCTCCAATGCCAGATCTAACATGTCCGAGCTCGAAGACCTCCAGATTTGGCCCCGCGCGGTGCCCTCCACCAGATCTGCTCTCGATGACCTCAATAGCAATCTTTCCTCAACAACCGCCTTGCCTCAGTCGATGCTCAGTGGCCAACGGCCTTCCCTAGACGTCGTGAAGTGAATGGTCGACGGGTTTAATTTGCTGATTTGCGAAAAAAAATTTGTTGTCTTTGATTATGTGTATGCCCACGTTATGTGATTTTCAATCGATCTTGGTGACGATCTAATTTGGATTTGAGATTTGAATTGGAGTTGGGGTAACGAGGAGTAACTCGATGTATCAGCTCGATTTCTCAATTGAGCCTTAAATGTGCTGGTTATGGAACTGGCACCAATGACTCGGAGTCATCTACGCCACCCGTAATGCCGGTTGGAAAATTCGGCACCTATAGGGATTTCGCAATAGACACCGATGGTCTTTCTGTAACAGTGGTATGGTGTAGATTATGTGTATGTACACAGAACAAACTACGCTTCCATCATGTGAGTAAGATCTCTGTTATCTAAATTATTCTGGCATGTACATGTGTGGTACATATATAAATCAATATTTGAAAACAGGGAACAATGGACGTAGAACACAGCCGATTCGATCGAACAGTCTGACACAGATAAAATTCGATTGGAGAATTGACTAATGAATGAATGAATGAATTAGTATATCCAGCGTAAAGCAATTCCTACAATGGTAAAATCTCTATCTGAAAAAAGAAAAATAATGAATGCAATAGCCACAATCGTGCACCAATATGTACAGGCAGCAATCGCACGAATCTAAACGAAGAGCTCGAGCAGAACGGGCGGCGCGTGCACCGCCGCGGCGGCGGCGGCGGCCTCCTCGCGGTGGCGGCGCATGTGGCCGCCGAGCGCCTGGCCCATCTCGAAGCCTTGGCCGCAGATGTGGCACTCGTGGGTCGCCGCCGCCGCCGGCTTCTCCTGCACCTTCTTGGTGGTCTCCTTGGCCGTGGCGGCGGCGAGGCCGAGCGCGAGCCCGTGGCGGCCGCGCAGGTGGCTGGTCCGGTGGCCGCCCAGCGCCTGGAACGACGGGAACGCGCGGCTGCACGTCTTGCAGACGAAGTCCCCACTCCCGGACGCCGCCGGCGACGACCCGCGCCGCGGCTTCTTCCGCTCGCCGCTATCCGCGGCAGCGCCGAGCGTGAGCGACAGCGAGAGGCTGATCACCTCGCCGTCCCTCGGATGCTTGGTCATGGTCAAGAAAGAAACCGAACGAACTGGAGATCGATCGAACACAAGATGATCGACGAGACGAGTTTTAGCTAGCTAGCTTCTGACTCGATCGAGAGAATGGTTAATATTGCTGTGCTGGTGTTGGGACTGGGTGTTATGCATGGGGTGGCTCTTATATACGGTACGAAAGGAGATGAGATTGTCACGTGCACGCCACGGCGCAGGCGCGGTGGAGGACGCCATGGCGAGCGCGTCGGTCGCAGTCGGCGAATCGTCTGAAACGTCGGAACCTTCTGTACGTACGCTTTGGGTGGGACGCGTTTACTACCTTGGGCCGGCTGGCTTGGCTTGGCTCAGATGTGCGTGTGCGCTGGCCTCACACCGACCGCGCGGCCCGCGGACAAGACAGGAAGGGTCCACGAAATAGTCAAGTGGGCGTTAACATAAACGGTGGGGGTTACGTTAGAACTCCGTATAAAAAAGAGTGTAGTTTTACAGTGCTCACATCCAAAGTTTAACCGTTTATCTTATTTAAATTTTTTATAATTAGTATTTTTTTATTTTTAGATGATAAAATATAAATAATACTTTATATATCACTATTTTTTTAAATAAAATTATAAATTTTTTAAATAAAACGGATGGTAAAATATTTGACACGGAAACTTGTATCTGTACTCAAATTGGGACGAAGGCTGTGTTTAGTTCAGCGTAAAGTTTAGATTTTAGTTAAAATTGGAGATAATATGACTGAAAAGTTGTGTGTGTATAACAGATTGATGTTATGAAAAAGGACTGAAGTTTAAATACAAACTTTGGATCTAAACACAGCCGAAGGCAGTAGCTGCGAGTAGAAAGGGTGTGTGGGGCCCACTGGTGCTGCACCGTTGGATGGTTCGGGGTGGTGGGGTCCAACCGACGTTTGGTTTTGACCGGTCAGAGTGCTAGTCTTGCACCCGAAGAAGAAAGTGAGTAAACTTCCGTTATTTGGTGCCTTCGCGTTGGATTGATATCGTCATGCGTACTCACGTGAGGTCAGTACTAGTAGTAGAAGTACTTGGCAGGAAATATCAGGTACTAGCAACCTACCACTTCCAGATTTGGATCCGCGCGTGTTCTCCAAACAAGATTGTGGATAAAACAAACGGAACATGTAAGGTGTTTGTGCTGTCAATTGTATGATACTACGTACTTTCCCGTGAAGTATACGTAGCACATACAAGCAACTAACGCGCTCAAGATTATTCACCCGTACGTACTCGGTACTCCTATGTGAGACCATTCAATTCATACCTGAAGAGAAGTGCTGAATATTGGCTTGCTGTTTCTTACGAACAAAGACTCGTTTCAGTTTCAGGTTCGGTCCTAGCTTCCTGTCACTTTCCTTGTTCCATCCTTACGAAACAATTATACTAGTATATAGTAATACTAATACTGCGAAGTATCCGAAGGGGATTGATTAGCTCTAGCTTGATTAGTTTAATTTACAGCTCCTTTCGATGGACATGCATATGTATGCATGTGTGTGTGCTTGCTCCTGCTGTGACTACGTCTACAAGCGTGTGCTCAAAAACTGTGTAAATTAATATCTACTATGTGATCGTTTAGTCGGTGATCTGTTTGCTAGGGAATCAATTAATTAGTGAACTGACGGGCGCGTCTTCGGTCGTAAATCCCTGAAATCCTTCTCCTTGATCAGCTTGAAGAGGTCCAAATGTGTTAATTTCCCCCAACTAGCGTCAATAATTGAAGAAAAATGATAATTCAAAGAGAGTGTTGTTTTCTGCCAAGTGTTGCCCTATGCTAATATTGCTGAAGCAGTTTCTCTCTTTGACAAATGTCCCTCGTGGATGAGATCAATTGCATTATAGTTTCTATCCAGCTAGCTAGGGACAATTTTCTGTTGTTTTCTCTCAAATGTTTGGGTAGGCACTTAATTAATGGATGAGAGTATGGAAGAATCACACATGATCGTACCTATACAGTGGTGGTTAATCTTGATTTCTTTTTTTTTCTTAAGAACAAGGGCGAGATTTGTCTAGCCTGTATTATGTAATTTCGGAGTACTTGAGGTAAATTAACAGAGAGTGGATATATGTACATACTTCCTCCGTCCCAGTAAAATTGACGTTTCAACGCCCCAAGCTTGTCCCAAAAAATGTGTCGCTACACAGAGAAGATGCACTCCTGGACGCCAAAGCAAGTTTAATTGTTGATTCAAATTTTTGAATATGTTAATGATGGCTTTGCCCCTTTATCAAACATGTGGCCAAGGCGCCAATTTGTGTACTCCCCGTAACACGTGGTAGTGAGTTGTGGTTACTTCATTACTGCTGGAAACATCCTCTAGAATATTCGGAATGCATGTATAAATGCTGGAAATGACAGCTGAATCAAATCATGGGGATAATTTGGTAATTTTGCACAACAGCTAATCTTGGATGCTAACCTTAAAACATCAATTTTACTGGGACGGAGGAAGTATCAGATATGTCCCCCCAGTAAGGATCTAGTCAGATCACATTTAGAGGTTGAAAGGGATATGACGTGGCTACACGTATAAGGAACAAATTCACAGATATATGTGTGTCTCCGTCAGATTCTGCACGCAACAGTGCAACACTGTTATTACGCATATCGAAGCTCAGTTGAACTTGGACTGCAAATTTGCAATCAGGGACTGGGAAATTTAAATATCTTTTTTGCTTGAAGAATAATCTGGGGATAAAATTTCGGAAATAATGATCAGGAGGAACAGCGCGCTGAATTTATTTCTGGCACAAACATAAATGTTGCATATATTTACAAGAGGTATAGCTATGAATGAAAGAATTATATTACATCTGTGTGTGTATATACATCTGAACTCAACAAATCTCCACCAAACGGTTCAAAAACTGACCGATTCAAAACCGAACAACCCAAACGCTAATGAAAAAAAAAATTAAACCCCTATCATAGTTACAAGATCGATGAACCTGACTTTTTTTTTCTAGACATGTACATGAACTAATTAATGGTGACACACACTGCGTCAGTTCAAAACTTGGACGAAACTAATGGAGACCAGCGGTAACTAGGCGAACAACTCCAGCAACACCGGTGGCTCGGCGGCGATCCCCTCCGGCCGCGCGTCGCAGCGCCAGACCCAGTCGTCGGCGGAGGATCCACCGCCGGCGGCGGCCATCTCCTCGCGGTGGCGCCGCATGTGTCCGCCGAGCGCCTGGCCCATCTCGAAGCCGAGGCCGCAGATGTGGCACTCGTGCTTGTCCCTGTGCTCCTTGTCGGCCGCCCTGTGCAGCCTGATCGCCTTGTCGCCGATGGCGCCGAGGTCGAGCCCGTTGCTCCGGCCGCGGAGGTGGCTGGTCCGGTGGCCCCCGAGCGCCTGGAAGGTCGGGAACGCGCGGCTGCAAGTCTTGCACACGAACTCCCCTTCCCCCGACGTCGCCACCACGCTCCTCCGCCGCGCCCTCTTCCTCCTCGCCGCGCCGCCCGCCGCCGCCGCCGACGAGTCCGACGCCGTCGACGAGCAGTCCGTGCTCAGCGCCAGCGCCAGCGACACCTCCTCCTCCTGCCTCGGGTGCTTCATCTCCGATTCGATAAGCTTGTGAATTAATGGATCGATGGATTGAGAGAGAGATTTTTGGTTGGGGGGAGATCGATGGATGGGTTGGTGGCGCGCGCCGCGCTTATATATAGGTTTTGGAGACGAGGCGGTGGGGGCTTACGTGTTTGCCAAGGAGGTGAGGGGGAAGCGACCGACATAGTGGCGAGGTGGCGTGGCTGCGCCAATCGCGTGCGGCCAACGCGACGAGCGGCGAGGTGGACGGCTTGGATTTGGATGGGGTCGGGGGGAGTGGGATGCGGGCGAGACGGACGTGTGGGTGGGCAGTGACCTCATCAGCTGGCACGGCATGGCAAACCATGGCGCGTGGCGGCTGTTGGTTGCTTAGCCGCGGGGGCAACGTCGTCGCCCGCGCCGCCACCGCCCGCGGCGGATAATCCACTCAATTATTTTATTCCGATCGATTATATTAGCACTAGTTGGGCCCTGCTTGGGGTTGCTGGAAGGGCCTAGAACGTTCTCGAGCTCGATTTGCTGAGCGATGGATTGTGTCTATGATCGCGGGATTAAGGGCTGGTTTGGTTTGAGGTCTAAATTAGCCTTATCAATATTTATCAATTTCAATAGTGTTTACTGTTTATATGGTTTGAAACCAAATTTAGGTATACCTAAGAAAATAGGTCATTTCAATAGTTAACTTAGGCTATTTTAGCTCTAATCCAGACATAAATTTGCCTTGCCAAAATTAACCATACAAAAACTTGCTAAAATTTAGTATCGACGAAAATTGGTAAGACCAATTTAGGTCACAAACCAAACCAGCCCTAATTAATTAAAGCACCTATAGTGGTCAATCGACCGTGACCATCCAGAACATTTGAACCCGGTCTACTGCAGTACTTTTATGGAGTACTAGTATTGGTTTTACTATTTGTTACGGTGAACCGTGAATCCAGACCATAGACACAGTTGTAAACCTGTCTCCGTTTTGTGCGGCCGGGGATAGTCAAACGTATATACATCGCGATGCATGTACAGTCTCGATTTCCTCTCAGACCTGTAGAGCTGTGTAGAAACTGTACGTATGACCTGTGACCGTGATGTGAATTCCGTCCCACCACACACGTACGGGAAGTCGGAACGGGAGGGCGCGTGCGATTAACCGAGCCGCGCCTTTCGCGGAGGCCGGCCGCCGCGCGATCCACTCCACGCACGCACGTAATTACGTACGCCCCCGGTCGGTGACAGCTAGCGGCTTACGCCCATCAACGGCAGGCGGGCATCAGGCCGGCTTAACCCCAGCGCGGCGCGCTGCGACGCGGCGATGAGATTGGCAGCACGGCCGAATCGTGAGGAAAAATGGCAGAATCTACCGCGATATTCTCACGTTCTCCATTTTCCCCACAAGCGTACTAGTCCAAGCCGCACGGGCGCGCGGCTTCCGTTTGCCTCGCGCGCAAGGAGCGGTGGTTCCTGTCGTTGCGTCGCGTGCGCGTTGCGCGATGATGTGTAACCGGTGTTGCCGCTTGCTAGTGGAAACTGCTCGTACTAGTCAGCGGAGTTTGGTCCTACTGGCTACTAGTACTACTCGGTTGCATCATGTTGGTTCGTATCTGATGCCACGACTTTTTATCTTTTTTTTCCCTGCATTGAATTTCTAGAGAGTTGGGGGTTGGGTACGGAGAACCTGGCCTTTTTTTTCTTTTTTTTTCTGGGAATACAGAACATCGATCTCTGGTTTTGTTTATGCTGGTTCCGGGAGGCCGCCTGCCTTGGTCAACAGTACTTCGAAGAACGAACCGGCAACAACCTCTAGAGGGAGCATTAGATTTGCAGTGATGTCATGGCAACGGTTGTTAGTGCTCTTTCTTTTGCTCAAATTTACGTGTGCCCCAAGTGGGCAGGAGTCTGAACGCGTACTAAAAATTCTTAGGCGCCGGACATGAGCTTCATGATCATAACTACAGAAACTAGATAAATGGATAAGGACATCACATGGATCAGCATCGGCGTCTCTATCCTGATTTAAAATATAAATCAGGAGAGAGAATAGCAGCGGGCTACAGATTTATATCCAGCTGTAGCACGGACTCCAAGACGCAGTGTATCTATGACATGTGAGACTAGATATTAATAGTGTATTATATAACTATTGTATAAATGAGCTATTAGATTGGCTATAGATGAATTGGAGCTAGTAGTTGGCTATACTATTGAACTTTCTCTTACATCGTCAAGTGTCTACGCGGTTAAGCAGGTCGGTCTGTTCTTGCGCAAAAGGCTAATAATATCTACTCCCTCCATACTCCGTTTTATATTATAAGTTGCTTGTTATTCTTTGCAGTAGAACTTTATCAAGTTTGACTAAATTTATAATAACAACTAGAATATCTAATTAGTTTTATTAAATATATTTTAATAATATATTTATTTTATGTTGAATATTATTTTTTTATAAATTTAATTAAATTTAAAAATATTTTATTAGAAAAAAAAGTTAAATGATTTATAATATAAAACGGAGGGAGTATATATACATGTCATCGACGACATGATACCTGGTCGTCGAATCAGAGACGAGTAGTGCAGTACGGAGTAGTCCTGAACGAGTCCTGACCCCATACTTGGACGGTAGTTCTTGGATGGATTTCGCGTGAGTTTCGTTGATTGAGCTCCATATGGTACGGTGCAAATTAGGCGGCGTGTTTTCCTTATATCTGAAGTTCCTTACCGGGCGCCGCTTGCTGCGTGACAGCTTGAGCTGATCACCTGCTATAGGTTTCTACATGCGCCTCTGTTCTTCGTGTGAACAGTGAGCTAGCTTACTGCTGTGAGCCTGTGAGCTGTATATATGGTGGATCAATCATGTATACTTCTACTTGGGTTGCCGACATCAACAGCTTCCCTGCCTACTGAGGCCTGTTTCTTTCATCTTAAAATTATTATAATCCAGATTATTAGAAGTAAACTAAAAAAACAGACAACTTATTAAAGTAGCTTATTAAAATCTGGAGCCCAGCTTATTATAATCTGATAAGCTCATTTAGGTAAGCTTTTTCTAGATTATTAGGTGAAAAATTACCCACCATGCCACCCCACTCCCTCTTTAGACTTGCAAACCTAATAATCTAGGAAAGAAACAACTAACCGCTTATTCTACTACAGATTATAACAATCTAGCTTACAGTAATCTGACTCAATAATCTAGATTATAATAATCTTAAGTCGAAAGAAACAGAGCCTGAGTTAAGGCCTTGTATAGATTAAAAAATTTTAGCCAAAAACGTCACATCAAATATTTGGTCACAGGCATGGAGCTTTAAATATAGGGAAAAAACCAATTGAACAGTTTGTATGTAAATTACGAGACGAATCTTTTTAAACCTAATTACGCCATGATTTGACAATGTGATACTACAGTAAACATTTGCTAATGATAGATTAATTAGGCTTAATAAATTCGTCTCACAGTTTATAGGTGAAATATGTAATTTATTTTATTATTAGTCTACGTTTAATACTTCACATGTATGTCTATATACCTCAAAGTTTTTACATCTGAAGAACTAAACACACCCTAAAAACCAAAACTTGAAAACGCGTTGCACCTAATATCCCTGCAGTACATAGGCTGACAATTGATATGGAATCAGGACATGATTGTAACATGAAACTTGTAGTGATAAGAACGACGTGTATACGTGTGTACCGTGTACGTATATGCGGTGTGAGCGTGTTACTTGCATCTAAATATTATCTAGAAAAATAATAATATCACAAACATGGCTATTTGTGTCGTTAGGTTAATAGGAACCAGAAGCTATACTTGTATTTTACTCCGTTTTGTTAGTTCAGCAGGGTCGATCGACGAACTCAAGGAGTGGGTAATCGTATACACTTATTTACTCCATAACTGGTTGCGCGTCAACCCATTTATCTTTAATCTAGCTTATCAACCATGGTTAAATTTAAATTTTAACACTTAATTTTGTAGTAGTGGATTTTTTATGTTTGTTTTATCCGAGATTTTTTTTTACGTTAACTCTTAAGTAGCTAGGAACAAATATATATAAGTTTTTACTCATAAATTATTTTTAAGCTGCTAATAAACATTACAATTTATAGCAACGAAGAAACTGATTGTTAGAAAGAAAAATCTGACGATAATAAGTGAGCCACAAATAGAAAGGACACCGACCAACTGCTGTCCACTGTTGTTAGTCCGGTGATTTTGGTATGCTAAGAGCAAGTTCAATAGTATAGCCTACTACTAACTCCAATTTATTTATAGCCGATCTAATAGCCAATTCATACAATAGTTACTTACTATACTATTACTATACTATTAACATATGGTCCCACCTGTTATACACATATTGTGTCTTAAAATCCATGCTGCAGCTGGCTACAGATCTGTAGCCCGCTGCTTTTCTTTTTTATTTTTTATCTTATTAAAATATGTTTATAGCTGGCTAATAGTATTGTACCTGCTCTAACGCAGACTCTAGACTGCTTAGCATACTTCCATTGCGGCCATCTGGCTTTTAGTCGGTTAGCATACACGGTTGAGCTCACAGCGTACTGACGTTTTGTCCCATGAAAACGACGTCGGTGATGACGTGTTCTCCTGTACACGAAGAGATAGAGCTCAGCCGACATGCTTCACGTTACGTGTCGTACTTTTATTAGAGGCAAACAACCTGAAGCAGTACACGTTTTCGTCAGCCTGATGACAGGTTAATCCACTGTAAACAATCAAAATTCATAATCCGCGTGCCTTGCAGGGTTTGACTACGTTATTTACTGGTATTCGTCCGAACAGAATAACACATGACTACGTTTCAGATGCAAGCTCCTACCGCCATACGCTATGCGCGAAATTGCCACCTTGAAGATGCGTCATGCCCTTGGGATACTTTTCCTCATTTCACTCACTCTTGAAAGCCACAAACTGCCTAGCCTGGTTTAAGGCTCCCCTGATCAAAACATTTCTCTAGGCAGACGGTCAATTTTTGATTGTTTAATAAGTTCCTGGCAAAATTAAAAACAGCATCGAACAAGAAATTTCTTCTCTATTAGGACCTAAATCTACCTACAGAAACACAGCACGCTATATTGGTAGAGAAGAACACGGAGATCTCACAAAATTCATACTGTTTCAAGGGGTATTTTGACCTTTTCCCATGTAAATACGATGATAATTCCAAATCTGACAATGATCATTTATATGGACAAGTGATTTTCATTGCACCGGAAGGCCATAATACAAAATCTGGGGCAACTCTAATGTAATTAATTGGGTGAGGTTCCGAAAAGCTCTATACCAGATTGATGTTATAACGCCAAAACTTGAGATTTGTGATCAATCCCGTTGAATATAAATGTTCCCAGCAAAGGCACAAACTGTTTGGTGACCAGCTGGAAAAGGGAATGAGTAGTTAGTGCGATGAAAGAACAATTAATGGTTGTCCACAAATTACCGTCACGAGATCAAAACACACCTTAATTACTTCTTGGGATGCTACTCCGCCAATGAAGGCAGCCACGGGATGAATCTCTGCACCCCCAAACCGGCACATTTCAGTAATCAGGTCTTCAGACAAAGGTGCCCCGTTCATACCCATCTCACTCATTACTGAAACAGCAGCTGTCTTCAGCCTAGGCACATCCTCATCAATCTCACTACCGAATCCAGTGTATTATTAGTATTATAAATACATGTACGATGTTATAATGTTCACCGAAAGTGAATGAACATTTTACTCATGCTTACCTTTCAAAGATTCCAGGGCATCTGTTATAGTTGGCTGCAAGTCGATCAACAGCACGTAGCAGAACATAGAAGTTCATTGCAAAGCTGCAGCCAAATTTGCTTGTCATTTGAATAACAAATAAATCAATAAGAACAAGATAACAATGGCTAGTCATTCTAACAACAGTTCCGGCAACATACAAAGCAAAGGAAGAAACAATAGCTGACTTCTCCACCTACTCCAAAGTTGCACTGCATGCTACAGTGTGACCAACTATTGGTTTGAAAGAAAACTTGTGTTTGCAACAAGACGATGAAACCACAATTCGAAGCAGAAAAAGTCTTCAATAGGTTCAATCAAGGCATCTTGTAATCCTGGTATTGCATTACAATTCAGTTTAACAGGTATTTTCAATTTCTATGATTTAGGATAGGCTGATATTCTAGGATGCAGCAACAGCAGTACTACCTTTGTAACAGCTGCATGGAGCTTGAAAACTAAAGTAAAGATGCCAAAGTATATGAACAGAGAAAGTTCCATAACATTAAAAAAATGACAAGCACAAAGGAGTAAAAGGTACTGACCAGTAGTCTTCATCGGTGAAGTATATTTGAACTTCAGAAAGAACAGGAGAGCTAAACTCTTCCTCCATACTGCGGTACCTACAGACCTAGACAGCAGATATCACTTACTCAATAACTATCAGGTATAGTTCTACAATATTTATCAATCATGATATTTAAAGTGAGAGATAAGAATTAGCATGTTATGTCAAATAGAAAATTGAACACATGCATTCCAGTGGAGGAAAATAAATCAGGAGTGGCATAGTTTAAAAGGGACAATTGCACCTCTTGTACAATTTAATTCTTTTGAAACAAGTGCAAAAGCAATGATCAGTACTAGCTAGTAGCTAGTATACCATACACATACAATCAGCTTTGTCTTTATCAAATATATGGAATATGGATAGGGTACAAAATACTACAAGGTTCTTCTCAATTAAAACTAGTTAGATCAAATGATTATCAAGCACATCATTGTAGCCATCCCAAACAGGTGTTACAATGTATATTTAAAGAAAGCAGCTTACTCTGAGTTTTCTAGCATTTTTGCAAAATGTTTTTATGTATGCCCGTGAAATAGAATCAGGGTCTCTATCAATTCGCTTCAAGATATCCTTTACATGATGCTCCAAGGCAAGGCAGTCAGATTCAGCCTTAGCTTGGTAAATCTTTTGCAGGCTAACATAGTACCTGTAAGGTTATAAAAGAGAAACAGCTGCATTCATGTGATAGAAGAAAATAGTTCGGCAGAAGTTGACTGAATCTGAGATCATTGCAAAGCTAGATGACTGCAGGGCACTAACTCAGTAAGTGAAGTCATATCAGGTATCGTCCCCTCAAGAGGTAGCTCACCGTTGCCCTCATTTGCAATAAATTCCTGTAAGTAGCAAGCGAGAGAAAGAAATCCAAATTGAGACATGAATGCTAATAAAAAACAATAATTTCAACCAAAAAAAGAAAGCATAAAGTATGAGTAAGTCCATGTTACACCCCTGAACTCTCAAAGAAATTTAATACCCTCCAAAATAATATCATATATTCAGAAGCTATATACGCTTTCTTCCGGTGGCACTCAAGAGTCAGACTCACTACCATTGGAAATGTCAATGCTGTATTTCTTTTTCTTGTTTGGATGGTTTAGACAACTAAGCAAGCTAACCTTTTGAATTATACCCATGATGTTACTGTCGATATAGCAAAAGAACAGAGTTTTTTTTAATCAGAAAGAACACCTTGAGTTGGATTCATGCCAGCAACTGCGGCTCCTCCAAAAACACTTTGGGTTGAAAATTTACCAGGTTTACTAAATTTTTGGTGCTCGATAATCAATTTTGTACTTGTCAGTGTTCGATATATTTCCTGAGAAGTTGAGGTGCGTTTAGTAGACTTCTTGCTAAGCTGAGGGATGTAAAATGGAAACATTCCTAAAGGGATATATGGTGCAACTTTACAGATGGTAAGTGTGAAGATAGTTCATAAACAACACATTATTTCAGGCTTTTTAATATACATTCATTATGAAAGCAGCTTCAGACACACAAAGCTTCTAGAGCTTTTTTGTTCTAAATGAGCATTCTCCAGGGAGAGAACTCATATGCAGCTTTAGCATAAGTATCAAAATTCCAAAGCTACCTGACATTTGCTTCAGGTTATATGAGGCATCTGGCTAGAGAGAAGATTAACCTTTTGGATCTGACTTGTTATTTTAGCCCAAAAAATAAAACTAGAACTGGGTGTCTAGATCATGCAGGTTCATTGAATATCGCAGAGACACCTCAACTAACATATGATTCACTTTTTTAAAACAAAGAATCATTGAATAGCGCCGAGAGACCTCAACAACATATGATACACTTTTTTAAAAAAGAAAAGTATCATTGAATATTGCTGACACCTCAACAACGTATGATACTTTCCAATTTGGTTTCAACAACAAACTTTATCAAGAGTGCCTGGAACCTCAGATAACAGCTCAGTGGTATGGCATATCAGACAATAGAAGTTGGCATTCCATAATTGTAAATCACAATTATAACTACCTTCAAAGCAGCCACTAAAACCCAGAAATCTGAAGAAGATGAATTCACTTCAGCGGAGCTATCATCAATTATCTGACGGATCTCATCACCTAGAAGAAATTAACCACTAATTAGAACTTGCAGTTCTGCACAGAAGCTATGTTATATTGTGTACACGTGCATGGCTGCAGGAACATACAACAAGAATACAACAGATATTTATAAATAAGTTAAAATATTTATGGGTTCAAAAAGAGACTACGGCTGTGTTCGGTATCCTTAGTTCCCAACACCTCTTCCTCGTGTTCCGCGCGCACGCTTTTCAAACTGCTAAACCATGCGTTTTTTTAAAAAAAGCTTCTATACGAAAGTTGCTTAAAAAATCATATTAATCCATTTTTGAAAAAAAAATTACGTAATACTTAATTAATCATGTGTTAATGGACCGTTCTGTTTTCCATGCGCAGGATAAGTGTTCCCAACCCTGATGTCCGAACACAGCCTACATGTAAGTACAAGACCCAGGAGGTGTTTGTTAACACATAGGCCACATTCATTCATTATGTAAACTAGAGTGACAACTTCAAGTTAATTCAAGTAGTTTTTACTAGTGGTATTTAAGAAAGGAAATAGTCAAGCACACAAAATTATGTCTGCAAGTAAAATTATGCTGATAGAAGAACATTTAAAAATAAACTTACTGATCCCTGGAGTAACAGAGACTTTATACGAGGACTCCACTGCTTCTTTGTAGTTTTCTTCATCTAAATTAAGCATATATTCTCGAATCAGTGCCTGAAGAAGATATTAGATTAGTCAATAACCTGACAGTCCCCAAAACACATTAGCAACCACTTTTTACTGATTGGGGCAACAACCCAAAACACGTACCTTGAATTCATTTTTCTCTTGCCTAGTCGAAGGTAAGCGCCCATCATGTGCATCTGCCCATTTTTCTGCAAGCCTCACAAGGATAACAATGTAGGGAGTGTGCTTGTGCACAACAGGATCTTTATCATTTATATCAATTGACTTTGCAAATCTGAAAAACATAAGCATTAAGATCAACAGTGATTTCATCTAGAATGAGAAAAGGATCATGCAACTTGCTATGCCAACAATGTAGGTACAAATAACTCTTACTGCTTGAGTTCAACCCATGGATTGTGAAGGCGTAAATCATCCAGGAAGTGGTCCGGTTTTGATTCTATAACATTGTGCTCCTGCTCAATAGTTAGGGAAACAGTTTTCAGTCTGGTGAAAATGCTTTGGCTCATGACTACTGTGGAAATGAAAACCGCCAAGCAACATTAATAAGTCCTAAATAATGAGGTCAGGAAACAAGATGCAGTCCACCGCTAAAAGTCAAATAAAGAACAACTCAGAAACTCTTGCACAGATCAATAAAGGTACCTTAACGCTGATCCTGACTAGACCAGTTAGACCATATGAACGTGCAGCAACCAACACAATATTTGCTTTCCTGCAGATATCATCTAGTTTCAGTAAAGATCTCTCTGGAAGCTGCAGTAGAAAAAACTGGGTATCAGCAAAATTTGGCCGCGAGAGGAAAAACTACGTGCACATTGTTCCTAACAATCCATGTGTAGTAAATAGCTAAAATAATAAAAGTTTGACTGTCCACACTAAAAAAGCATCTCTTACTAGAGGGAGTATATCTATGAATATCTAATGCGCCTGTGCGATTATAAAAACTTGCCAATTCTCATTTCCTTGACTTTTAAATCTTCTTGTTAAATGTTCTGGCTACGCAGAGAAGTCAAGAAAATCAATCACTGATTTTGCATCTTACCATAAGAGTAAACACACACCTGAGTAGCAATGACTACGGTAAATTGGGAAAAGAATGAAGGGTTTGTGTCTATGAGAGCCAGAGGAGACTCCTCGACAAACTTGGCATTTACAGCATCATTCAGCTCTTGCAGGAACGAACATACAGATTTTGCTCTTGATTGCCCCAAGCATTCTGCATCCACTGAACATAAACAGAGTACTCGGAACATGAGTTCCATTGCTTTACTGGAAATTTATCGAAATGGAACAGGAATAAACGCGGAGCACAGAAATTACACAGGAAATTGTTTCCCATGTCAGATTGTTCAACTTTGGAACCATCAACAACAGTAACACTCCCTACTCCTCCAAGCACAAGGTTCTTCATCGCTTCAGTTCCTGTAGGGCCACAGGTAAGCAAGCATATGCTAGCCTTCTCCAGTGCAGCCTGTCCTTGATCACCCCATATCCTGTACTTTGCATTAACAGAATCATAACAGGTAGTTTTTAGTATGTGGGTTGCTTCTTCCTACTCGGATGCAAAATAAGCAGAGAATAAGAAGAATACACAAGTCGCAGGCTGGAAAAATGAAGGTCAAATTTTATAAAGTAAAACTGAACTGTGCTATTTATATATGCAACTGAACTACCCATGTGAAGCACAACTACAGCTCAGATAATCAGATGCACATAAGAAAACACCCAATTAAGCCACAGACTAGACCACCAACACCAATTATGGACCCCTAACATAATCCACTAGGGTCTTAGTAATCAGCAAAGTGCTATCAGTCGGTATCCCCAACTACATGTGAACAACGTAAACAATATTTCAACCAACCAAGCTCCAATGCATGACCGGCAGCGTTCGAAACAATTTCTGTCAGAGAAAATCCCTCCAGCTCTTGACCACCCGTCACCCGAACAGAAGGAGCTCCAAAACCCTAGATCAGAGACCGCGCCCACTCGAACCGCACCCGAACAGCGGTGCCGGAATTCCACCACCGCGAAGAGCCCTAAACCCTAGGATCGAACGGCAAGCGCCCGGAATCTACCCGTCGGAGATGAGAGAGCGCAGATGCGCGCCGGTTGCGTTACCTGAGCTGGCGATCGTACTTGGTCTTGGGCTCCGCGAAGGCGGCGGCGGTGGCGGCGGCCATGGCTTCCGGCGGCGGCGTGGTCTCCTCTCCGCGTGTGGAGTGGGCTCTGCCGCTCTTCCGAGGTTTTGCTTTGCTTCGCCTTCGCCTTCTCCTCCTCCTCCCTGAGCGAGGAATAAAGCGGTCTCAAGCTAAGTGGAGGCGGAGCAAGGAGAAGGGGATCGTGGGCTTTGGAGGCCAATGACATGGGCCTAATCGTACGCCCCAATATTGTAGCTACTTGGGCCTATTGGGCCGATCCAGTTTAGTTAGCATCTACCATCTCTACACCAACTAAACAACTGCACTTGCCATAAACAAGTGGGATTAGCGACATGATCTTACTTGTTTGACTTAAAGTGTTATTAGTGGAAGATAATTAAGGATTAGGAAGGTTCGTTAGTCGTTGGGGGAGACGACCAGACATGGCTAGATTCATTGTACCAATTGGGCCATTACCAGACAGCAGTACAGCACGATACTACTGAATAAGCGTTGCTGGATATTGAAGATATACGCAATTGGAGCTCTTGCTCTGATTGGTTCCACGCAAGGAGAAAACTACACATAATAGCTCCGCTTTTGAATTTTAATTTGAGCTAATTAGTCATGGCTTACGATCGATTGAGTCGAACATTTACGTGCTGTCCTTTCTTTCTCAGCACTCTTTTCTTTTTAATAAACAGTGCATAAACTTAACCTGGTTTTCAATTTGAACTAACTGCTCGATTATGGCTTACAGTTAAGGTTGATCGGTTCAGCCATTAAGGTGATCTTTTTTTCGCCATTTCTTGTTTATTAAACTGGATCAATGAGGTGGTTGCAGATGCTTATAGTTGAAAAACGGATTTCAGCGCTTGTTAAATGTTAATTATGCGAGTCCAAACTCAAAAGTCAGAATTGTTAGACAGTACCAATTCGGAAATTAGTGAGTCAAATGATATAAAATAATCCACCTCGACCAAACATGAGAAGTTCAGCTTGCAAAATTAACAATTCATTGCTCTATGATGAAGTTTATCCGACTAATAACTACTCCTAACTAGATAAGATAAACACCAATATTTTACTAAACAGCAACATAGCTAGTAATTAAAAACAAATTTGATTTCCTTGCTGAAAGAAAAATACATCAACCCCCGGAATGCCGCGGTTACACGCCAATGCTCTATTTGATTTTTAACCATGCAACAAACTGAGATTGAAACAGTACTTAATTAGCACTAGCGTAATCAACTAATCGTTGTCAATGTACACGTGAGCTCGACTTAGATTTCATGGCTAGCAAACCAGCTTTTCTCTAGTTTAAAAGTCCATCTTTCTGAAATTTTAATGGAACAACCAGTAACAGAAGTCTACTTGTACCTAGTTTATTATTAGTACAACTAGATGAAGCAGCAAGTCAACTAGTAGCGCACAGCCAAAGTCGAACACCACTCTTCGTTCTCTTCGCACCCAAGAAATCCATTTTTGCGAGCTTGGTCATCACCGAAATCTCATTGGCCATGGAAGAATCTTATATAAATAGATGGAACACCTACCTCTCCCACGATCGCAACGAATTGAAGCATTTCGTCTCGAGGCGCGGCACGATGAAGAGGCTGACATTCGGCGCGGAACCGGAGATGGTGGACAGCGCAAGCATAGCTCAGGAGGTCATGCTGCTCCTCGCGCGGAGCGGCGGCGGCGGCGCCGGCTATGTCGTCGGCCACGGCGGCGAGGCTCCGCGCGTCTTCGAGTGCAAGACGTGCAGGCGCCGGTTCCCGTCGTTCCAGGCGCTCGGCGGCCACCGCGCGAGCCACAAGCGGCCGCGGGGTGGTGGCGGTGGTGGCGCGGCCGCCGCCGTAGCCGCCGCGGCGGGCGAGGGGGAGGCGGGTGTCGCGCTCTCGCTCGCGGCGGGGACGCCGGCCGTGAAGGCCTCACGCGCGCACGGGTGCGCGGTGTGCGGCGTGGAGTTCGCGCTCGGGCAGGCGCTCGGCGGCCACATGCGGCGGCACCGCATCGCCGGCGCCGAGGCCGACGAGGCGGTGAGCGCCCGCGGCGGCGAGCCGGCGCCCGAGCGGAATCCACGCGAGGCGAGGGGTGTGGTTGGCTTGGACCTGAACGCTGCTCCCGCCGACGACACAGGCCTCCTGCTGGTAGACTGCCTGTAATGGCATTCTGCCCTACCTAACCATGTGATCGTTTCTTCTTTTTATCGTTTTTTTTGGTTTTGTAAATTTGAAAAATTGGCAGCTGTTCTCCAAAAAAACAGTAGGATCAATAGTTCAAAATACAACATGAATACGATTTGATTACAGACTTGTAATTACAGAATTGTAGTTTGCCTTTCTTGCATGAATCGTGCAAGATCATTCTTTCTTTGTAATAAAATAAAATAAAATAAATACTATGGGTGATACTGGGCTTGCAGCGGGCATCGGCCAATAGACAAATTCTGGAGTTGATTATGTTATAGTTCGTGGTCTTCGATTTCTTCTACGTTCTACGTGATCAGTAACCCAGTGTCGCAAGTAACTGTAGTTGAACACTGCAGAAACGCAATTAACTACATAAAAAAATTTGCATACTTCTATGTTATCTACTGGCTGTAGCCTCAACATCAGCACAGCCAACCCAATTCTATATGCGCTCATCATTATCAAGAGCAAGAGTTACTTTCCACCAATATTCAAAGTAATTGTTCTCACTTAACACCCATTTGTCCAAATCAAGACAATTGCAATAAGTTAAATAACGCACAAAGAGAGTAGCTGACAAAGAATGAAATGATAAAAATTACAAGCACCATTTCACCACCATTTTATCCATGTAGTGAGAACCCTTCTAAGATCCACAGCAAGCTGATTTCTGAGCCGCCGCTGCCTCGGCTTCCCCTTCCGATTTGATCTTGATGGTTCGGTCCTGCAATCAAAAGAACACAATAAGGAAAGGCGTTATTGAAAAAAAGTATGTCAAACCAGTTAATTCATACCTCAGGCTTGGAATCAGTCTCTGAGAGTCTTTGTTTGATATCTCTTGCTATAGAAAAGAAAACCTGCTCAACATTCAGGTTTGTCTTTGCACTCTGCAGTAGTCATAATGAAACGAAATTATGCATGGGATTGGCTACAGAGGTTCGGGCATCAATGCTTAGGAGAAAGCAACATTTATTGTCACCAACAAGTTACGATGAAGGAATACCAGAACAGAAGTTGTGACTTCGCACTAACCGTTTCAAAGAACTTGATTCCGTATTCATCAGCAAGAGCCTGTCCCTTTGAAGTGGGTACAGCCTGCACGAATGAAATTCAGCCGATATGAATAAGAGAGCTAAGAAATATTCCAAACATACAATTTGAGAAGGTCATTGGGAACTGTAATGGTAGGTGCATAATGTCGAACACGTTTTCTATTATGTTTACGCTTTGACACAACATAAATATATCTAGTGATGACCATGCTAGATGGATCAGAGTAACACCACAGGATGCAAATCTTATTCACGAAATGTTTTTCATACTGCATATGAAACTAACCATTCCAGAGCATGAAATAAAAATGAGATGACAGAATAAACATGTGGAAACAGCTAAGCCAAGTAGATTATACCCTTTTGCTTTCATCCATATCAGCTTTGTTCCCCACCAAAATTTTGTTCACATTATCAGAGGCATGTTGTTCGATGTTTCTGATCCAATTTCTTATGTCTGAAATCCAGCAACAATGGAAATATTCAGAAATTTTTGAGCTTAAGTACTATATCAAACAAAGCATCTGAAGTAAAGTGGTCAATACTGTTGAATGAAGATTCATCGGTGACATCATAAACGAGTAAAATGCCCATTGCTCCCCTGTAGTAAGCTGAAACAATGAAGCCCATTTCAGAAGCTTGATCAATGCAATTGCCAGAAGCAAACTTAGCTTTGTTGAAAGTAAACAAACATACCAGTGGTAATAGTTCGAAAGCGTTCTTGGCCAGCAGTATCCCAGATTTGCAATTTAATCCGTTTACCATCCAACTCAACGGTCCTTATCTTGAAGTCAATACTGTTTCAGAGAATTCAGTGAGGACAATATATAAGGTGATGCTATCATTCAGATGTTTCCTTTGGGGACTTTTTACAGGACATACCCAATTGTGGTAATGAAACTAGTCGTGAAAGAGCCATCTGAGAACCGTAGGAGGAGACAACTTTTTCCTACACCTGTATAATGTATATAAACCTTTTAAATAGAATGTACGTGCCACTAAACACTGAAACATAGTATGAATATCAAGTAAGGCCACAAAAGGAAATACAAATACAAGAAAAAACATTGATGTGGAAACAAAATCAACATGAGTTAAAGGGCTCCCCTAGGTACACAGAACCAGACAGATGCTATTTACTCACTCCGCTTCATATTATAAGTCGCTTTGACTTTTTTTCTAGCCAAACTTCCTTAAGTTTGACCAAGTCTATAGAAAAATTTAACAATATCTACTGCACCAAATTAGTTTCATCAGAACTAAAATTAAATATATTTTGATAGCATGTTTGTTTTGTATTGAAAATGTTGTTATATTTTTCTATAAACTTGGCCAAACTTAATTAAGTTTGACTAGGAAAAGAAAATCAAAGTGACTTATATTATGAAACGGAGGTACCAGTTTCATTTTATTGTCAAACTAGAAGACCACCATACCGTAAATATGGACCAGGCCACATAAGCACAAGGAAGATAGTTTAGTTGAACTCTGCTTGCAAAGCTGCTAGTGAGTGGGAAGGAAATGTTATTGTATGATTTTTACACATATCCTCAAATATTTACTCTTTCAAGGATGAAAATGAACAATGCTTTCACATAGTAGAAAACAAACAGCATGATTACAGAAACCCTTTAGTAAACTTTTATGTGGTACAAATATTATTCGAGCCTCAAAATACTGTGGTGGGAGGGCTGGGCTGGGTGAAAATATCATAGAATATACTTGGAGCCTAAGCCTGCGCAAAATTCTAAAACATATGAATCTCAGCAGCTCCCAGGCCTGAGACGAACCACAGCCTTGAACTTGGCTTGCCTCAACGGCTAAAAAAAACACAGAGCGAGGTTCCAACAGTGCACGTCAGGTCATCAGGTGAAAGTGTTGAAACCATTGTCAGTTCTCTTATAATGACTTAATGAGAACCCTTACAACAAACAAAAGTAACCACAACAGCTACTTACAGGCGTTAGTTTCACCAATAAACTATTCATGACTTCATATGGCGATCAATCTAACAATACCAGCATTTTAATGTGTGTCTCAGTTTGAGAATATATCAGGTCATAATCACATGATTGTCGCAAGCAGGAACAGAATCGCTATTACAAAACACTTATGCGTAGAAAACTGAAACAATTGTTGCCAACGGTTTCGCATGCTTCGATTCATTCACCCATTCAAATTTCACACACACACACAAAAAAAAATCCCCACAAACTGATCCAGATAACAGATCCCGCTCGAATCCTCGGATCAAACGAAACAACACACTTCACGCCGGAGGAACCAGATCTCGCGCGCGTAGATCGAGGGAGTGAGAGAGAGAGGAGGGGCCCGCGGCTACTCACCGCTGTCGCCAATGAGGAGCAGCTTGATGAGATAATCGTAGTCGGCCCGAGCCCTAGCCGGCGGCGCCGCCATCGCTACCAATCAATCCCCCAAGCCCTAACACACAATCAACATCGATCAGATCGGATCAAGCAACGAAACAGCAAGCCGAAAACGAGCAATGGCGAGCCGCAATACCGTGGTACACGCGCGGCGGGGGGGCGCGGCCGTCCGAGGCGGCGGCGGCGGCGGCGGCGATCTCCTCCGGCGTCGTCTCCCCCTCACGAGCAGCGGCAGCGCAGGCGGCGAGTTGCGTGGGGGAGGGGAGGAGATTCGCGAGGCGGAGAGGGGGATCGAAGCACCGCGCCAGCCTGGGTTGGGTGGTCGTCTACTTGGGTTGGGTTGGCTCGGTCGGAAGCGTCGTGGTGGAACCGGTCCACTCGTCTGACTTTTCACAGGTGTCGCGCGCGTGCGCCCGACTGGGTCCTAGGCCCGGCCCATTCAGGCCCATTAGGATAAGGGCCCAGTGCGAAGAACGAGGCCTGAATGCTGTGTGGGCTGTCTGGCCCGATGAAACATGATGGATTTTAGTTTTTTTATTTCAAAAATGAATTCGGATTTTTTGTTCAACTAAATGCCAAACCATGTGTGGATTTGAGCAAATAAACATTTTAGACATAGAAAATCTCCACTTGTCAGGGGGGCCGAAACTATTTAAATTTCGCGGCGCGCGAGTAGGTCTGCGGTCGCGGTCGATAGTCGACTTAATTTGCTTATCAGCAAACGTTGCGCGCTTTGCGTAAGCACTGTCTTTATCCTAGTGAACCACAACACGAAATTTCAAGTCTTCTCGATTACGCCATTTGCAATTCGAATTTCGAAATATTTAGACTTACAGTTTTGATGTCTGTCCCGCGCATTTTTCGGTGCAAATGCAGCTAACCAACAAATATCTAGCATATTCGGTGTGTTGTCTTTCATGCTTGCTTGCTGTCACGCCCCGAACTAGTACCGACCGGAACTAGCCCGTGACGCTCCAATTTAACCTGTTAATCGATACCAGTCCCAGGACACAGTGCTGATATCACAGGAAGACAGATTATCACAGCAACAGAGGTCTCTTTATTATAGAGTAGATGTACAGTCATGTTGGGCTGCGGACAGATCCCGATCTCACAACTGCATTACAAAAGGGAAACGGAAGCCGGGACTTGGACCAAACAACACAGGCGCGACTTGGGAACTAGGCCGAAACCCTAAAACTCATCGTAGCCGGCTTGCTCCTGGAAGAACTCCTCATCAGCAGGATCCGCTTCGTCTTCTTCAGCGACTGGGGGGGATTATTTATATAGAGCAAGGGTGAGTACGGGGAGTACTCAGCAAGCCAAGGGAAATAAGTGTTTAATGCAGGCTTCAAGGAAAGGCCGTTGTTTTTGCAATTGATTTTAGTTGAACTCTTTTCTGAAAACAACTAAGTGAGTGCTTCTCAAACGACACGGTTGTGACAGTGCGTCTCGTCCGGTCGGAGTATGTGCAATGTATCAGTCTTTAGAATTGAAACAAGGTTGGCACCCGGCCAACAGCTTTTCAAACGGCCACCCGGGCCAACAACTTTTTAAACGGCCACCCGGGCCAACAACCTTCAAACGGCCACCCGGGCCTAGCTGATCCCATCAGCTGCAGATTTTTCAAACATCGAACCCCTTTCCACAACAGCAATTTCACAAGCAGTAGTCAAACAAAACTACGCTAGGAATCACCTCACATCCGCCCATGACCGTGGGCACGGCTGTTCGAACAGTTTGTTAACCTCTGCAGAGGGGGTACACTTTACCCACATGACATTACTAACCCGGATCACCCAGCCCGTGGGGATCAGCCACGTCGGGAGACCTCCAAGCTTTCATGACAAGGCATTTCCAAAGCCGATACAGGTTTACCATATGCCGACGAGAGGGGTCCCAGACCAACAACAGGTTAGGTCCCAGACCATACTGTGCCAGGAAGCCCAGGGGTCCTCCCCGACACCACACCGGCGAATCCACATGTCTCTCGACATCAAGGCTCCCCTGATAAGCTAGTTACTCAACCAGGGGTGTCCCATTCCACCCATGTGGTCTTACTTGTCTTATGTTTGGATGAAATTCCAAGGAATCGGTCCTTAAGTGCGAGAGCGGGAAAACCGTACACCCGGTACGTTCCCCGGTCCGCGGTTTTGGAAATTCATTTAGTTCACAAGCACCGACCCAGGTGTCGGGTTTTCCAAGTCTTTTGTAAAACTCAAGTTTTACCCAAGAAGTTGCTCAGATTTTAAATTTGAAGGCGCCCTTCGGTACTCGCACAGATTGCACGATTTCCGAGGCGCAACTGGGTGGTTACAAGGGAACATGGTATAACAATTAACAAAGGAAGGATCAAATGCAACAAACTAGGTAGATCCGCCAATCTGCCTTGCAGACGGGACAACAGATTAAGTGCGATCCTATCAATGCATAATATTTTGCAAGCAACATAATTAAATTTCAAGTATAGGCTCAAGATGTTCAAAGGTGGCTTGCCTTGCTCGAGATCTGGAGCTTGATCCTCGAAATCCTCGCACTGCGGGTCTTCGGGCTCCGGAACTACACGCGAAACGGGACAACTCAACAAACGGCGAAAATGAAGCCCTAATAATGACCTCTAAGCGTGCCATTTGATAGATCTCGAGATTTGAGGAATTTTGGAAGTTGAACGGAGTCAAACGGATCTACGGTTGGAAGATATTGAATTTCTAAGATTATTGGATTTTTGGTCTAAAGGAAAAGGATTTAATTAAATCCTTTTTGGAAAAGAAAAAGAAAATAAAAGGGAAAGAGGGAGGGATTATAGACTTCTCCTCGGGCGGCTAGGGCGTGGCCCAAGGGAAAAGGAGCGGACCGGCCGAGCTAAATGGGCCGGCCGGCCCAAGGCGGCCCAAGTGCGCGCGCGCGGGAGGGGAGGAGAGAGAGGGCCGGTGGACCGGGCTCACCGTGCGCGGTCCCGGGTGGGACCCGCTTGTCAGCGGTTCGGCTCACCGTGCGGAGGGAGCACGCGGCGCATGCGCGCGGGCGGGGGAGGGACGCGGTGCACGCGCGCGGTCTGCGGAGGAACGGATGCGGTGGGCCCACGCGCAGCCTCACGGCTCGCGGTGGAACGCGCGCACGGGAGGGGCTGACCGGGGTCGGCCCGTCCCGACCTCGGCTGAGCTGGCGCCTACGTGGCTGCCACGCGGGCCGGTGGGAGGTAGACGACGACGCCGGCCGGAACGGACGGCGGACAACAGCGGCGAGCGGCGGAGCGAACCACGGCAATACCGGCGAAAGCGAGCACACCGGGTGGTTGCACGAGACGAGGGGAGACGAGCCAACGGCTCGGATTCGCCGGAGGAAACTTGACGGCGGCGAATCGCGGCGGCGGCAACCGGCGGGGAGGGAAGAGGGAAACGGCGACGAGGTCACGAGGGGCCGATTCCCGGCGGTGAGAGCATCTACGCGGCCACGGGAATCCGATGCTAGCGTCGGATTGGGCGGAGCTACGCCGAGCGAGGCTGGCGACGAGCGGGTGCTACGGAGCTCGTGCGGCGACGGCGGCGAGCACACGGCGGGCGACGGCAACGGTCGGGGCGGCGCCGGCTAGCTACGGGGAGGCTACTCGTGCTACCACCGAAAACTAAGGGGGGAGATGGAGCGAGGAGGAAGAACGGAGGGAGGCATCACCGAGGTGAGGAGGGGCGCTATGACGAGAGGCCGACGGCGCGGGAGGGATCTCTCCGGCCTCGGGCCGGGGAAGAGGAGGAAGACGAGCGCCCGGAGTCCCCTTCCGCGTCCTAGTGCGCACCGGCTCCTCCGGCACACACGCGACGGCTGCGGTCGGCGAGAGGGACGGCAATGGCGCGGGCGAGAAACAGGGAAGAGTGGGAGAAAAGGGAAGGGAGGGCGTCTGGGTTTATAGGGGGCGGCAATGTCGGTTTGGAAACCGACTTTGGCGGTCAAGGCGCGAGCTGGCGCTCCGGCTAGCGGCCAAAACGGCGACAGGAGGGAGGGAGGATGACGCCGGCGGGAGGAAAAGGGGAAAAAGGAGGGAGAGAAAGGGGGGCTCGCCCCTTTCTTCTTGGGAAAAAGGGGGAGGGGAGCGGGGGCGTCGCGGCAGAGGGAGGAGGGCTCGGCCTCCGTCCCTTGGCGGCTTGCGCGCGGAGTGGCGGGGCCGAGGCGATGACGACGGCGATGACGGCGGGGCGGTTTGGAGCGGCGCGACGACACGGGCGACAGGCGCGGGCTGGCGCGGCAGAGGGTGACGGCGGCGGCGACCAGACGGTCGGCCACTCGGCACGCGCGCGCGGCTTGCAACGGGAGGGCGCGGCGGATGGAGAGGCGCGGCTCGAGCACGCGCGCTGGCTGCGGGGCCGAGCGGCTGCAGGCGCGGCAGGGCAGCGGGGCCGGGCGGCGCAAACGCGACGCGGGCGAGGACCACGCGGGGAGCGGCAGCGAAGGGGCTTAAAGGAGGGCTCGGCTCGGCGCGGGCGGCTCGCGCGCTCGCGCGCGGGGCGCGCGGGCGGAGCGGAGGGAGAGGGAGGCGCTTGGCGCGGCGGCTCATGCACGCGCGGACAGAGCGGAGGGAGCGGAGGAGGGGCGCTCGACGCGGCTCGCGCGCTCGCGCACGCAGCGCGCGGGCGGAGCGGGGCGGAGGGAGAGGGGGAGAGGGAGCGCGCTGGGGGAGGGGAGGGGGAGATGGGCCGAGAGGGAATCGGCCCATCGACCCCGGGGGAGGCCAAATAGACTTTTGCGGAGGAAAATGATTTGGAAGGATTTGGATTCGGAAATGAACTCGACGATAGATCGGGGATTGAGATCTTGAGATGGCACGGACACTAGACGACAAGCGAAGAAACAAATTTCGCAATTAGGGTTTTTAAGAGATAATTTTCCCGCTAGGCGCCACGACGGAACGGGCGCTACACTTGCCTACGTACACGCGCCAACTATGGGAAACTATTCTAATCTCTCGAGGGGATGCTCCCTCGTTTACTCAAAAACCATCTAAATGGTTATGAAAAATTCTGGAAAAATTTGACAACATTCATACAACACATATATACAACTTCACAAAATCTTAAGTCCAAACTCAACTCACACATCGAGATATAAAAAAGACAAATTTAGCGTATGAATAGTAGCGTACTGTTTATATCTAAATTTGTCTTTTTTGTTTCTCGATGTGTAGATCGAATTTGAACATGAATTTTGGTGGACTAGTAGGTATCATTATACTCTACACTGTCAATTTTTTTCAGATTTTTTCACAACTATTTGCATCGAATTTGTAAAAAAAGGTATACGAGGGGATATCCCCTCGAGGGATTAGAATCCACTCCCACCAACTATTGAATGACAGTCCATTTAGTCCGTTATGCTCCCTCCGTCCCATAATATATGGGGTTTTGAGTTTTTCTTGCAACATTTGACCACTCGTCTTATTTAAATTTTTTTAAAATTATTATTTATTTTATTTGTGATTTACTTTATTATCTACCGTACTTTAAGCACAACTTTTCATTTTTTGTATTTGCAAAAAGAATTTGAATAAGACGAGTGGTCAAATGTTACAAGTCAAAACTCAAAATCCACGATCCTTATATCGTGGGACGGAGGGAGTAATAATTAGGAAAAAACCAAATCATTTGGTCCTAATCAAACTAGCTCAATTTGTTTATGCAAGCTCGCCTCCTCCTTGGACATAATTAATGTGCGTGCCCAACATGCGTACGTTGCCGGCCTGCCCAACTACTTCTAGTAATAATTATCATTGTTCTGCTGACATCGATCACAAGGATTAACCGTGCTAAGCACTCAACCGCACGTACGTAGCGGTACTTGGATCAATTTAACCACACACATGAAAATATACTCCATGATCCATGATCCATGATCCATGAAAATACTAACATGGAGTATACTAAATAATACCGTACCGCATGATTTGGTTTTTACTGCACTGATTGCTCGTTTCCGATGTCCTTTAGTACTGTACTTATCAATATGTTCAATTTTAACTCCACACTATCCAATAGTACCATGTTAAATACTATATGTCATCTAACAATTTTTTTCCGACCACCTTCCACGACGACCCGGCACGATTTTGATAATCGGATGCTAGTTGATACTTGCATTGCACGACCGCCGTTGCTTCAGATAGCCCAAATATTACACCACAATGGTACAAATCCAGCACATACACACTACTAGTACTAACATTGACGCTGACAAGCTATAGTTCGCACACAAGATTATACATTAAATCTCAGCTGTAAAACACATTAGTATCTCGTTTATTACAGCGACGCGGTCTCTAAAATACAAATTTGACTTTTTTTATCTATAAAAATATTTATTAAAATATTATATATATATATATACTTTCATGAAAGCTTTTTCAAGACAAATCTATTCATATAATTTTTACATTTTTAAACTCAACAACTTTAGAGTTATTTGTGATTTATATTCTCAAGAATTAATTTAAATATTTTTCTAAACGATTTTTTTTACGAGTAAGAGGGAGGGAGTACTAATTTATTTCTTGTTTATTTCGCGCCGGACCAACCAATACATTGCTTGTTCAGTTAAGCGCGTACACACACATTAATAATTATCCGTTTAAGTGAACACGTATCACAAGTTTTAATTCAGTCAATATATCGGTCAAACAGCACACTTCTTCGCCAAAAATATTCAAATATACGCGGCCATAATATAAATAAAAGTACGAAACTACTATACGCATCTTTCTGAGAACAGACAGAAACATGCGAAAATAAATAAATAAAACGAAACTGAAACGCAAGTGCAATTCCACGGAGGCAGCGCAAGCAAGCAGCCAAGAAGGCAGGCAGGCAGGGTGGTGGGTTGAAAAGGCAGGCGCCGAATCCCACGCGGCCGCTGCCGCGCAGCGCAAGCGCCGCCACCGAACGCGCCCCCCCGCCTCCTCGCGCCGAGGCGACGCGACGCGACGCCCGCGCCGCTCTCGCCGCCGCCGATCCAGCCCCCCTGCCCGCCTATATCTGCTCGGCTGATTTCGCGCGCGATCCCGCTCGGCGCTCGGAGAATCATCATCATCCGAGGCTTGTTTTGGGCGGTTGCCGCGGCGGAGTCGGAGGGCTTGGATGGGCGGGCAGGGCGCGGGCGGGGGCGGCGGGCGGAGGTGGACGCAGCGGCCCTGCCGTACGGGAGGGGGCGGGGTCGTCAGGCGGACGGTGGCGGCGCTGGCGAAGGAGCAAGGGGCCACGGCCGCGGCCGCAGTCCCGCGGCGTGCGGAAGGTTAGCGCCAGTTGCTCGTTACTATGGTTGTTTTTGGCGTGGCGTTTGAATTTGTTCATGGTTATGTGGTTGATTTCACTGCTTGGGAGTTGCGATCGCGTGTTCACGTTTTCCGTCGATTTCGCGGCTGATTTCGCATGGTGGGTTAGTGCTTGCTTCCAGGAATGGAAGTTTATTAGTAGGAATTAGGATCGTTGAAGCGAGGGGCTTTGCTTACGTCTTCCTTGCATTTTGTTGGGTTGCTTGCAGGAACAAAATTAGTTTGAAATAATGGAAATAGTGAAAATCGAAGCTCCTTTCCGTTTTGTTTCTGTGTTTATCCGAGAGACAGAAACTCCTATGAACACAAAAGGGTAGTAAAATCATGAAAATCAAAACAAAACGGGGTGTCCTGCTATGCGTTGCGGGTGAGATTAGTGTTTCGAATTCTCAAGTGTCCTATAGAACAAACTATATTTATGGAAGCTTTGTGAATTTGTGACGTCGTTAATGTTACATCTTATAGGCTTATAGCATCTTTGAATGGTTCTTGTTATGGAACTGAAAAAGAGGACTATTTGCTTTGGGGTTGACTTATTTCCTGTGCTGCCATTTCTTGTTATCAGGAACAGGACTTTCGCTTGTGGGCAAACAACGATGTATCCGTGGAGTATCAAATTTCAGAAGCAACACTGGATCCACAACCGAAAATGATTATGTAAGTTATTCATAACTTCAAATCGTTCAGTGATCTCCTATGAGAAATATTAATACTATTAGTACACTACAAACTTGGAAATTTTCTATGCCGTTTCTTGTTTCTGAAACATATTTGTTGCTACAGATTTGTTCAGACTCTAGGGTATTCAATTACAGAAATTCTAGTGGCACTTCTACAAGATGTTCTGCCGGTGAACAACTGAAAAATGGAATGGGAAGTTGTCATTCACAGCCTTCTGTGTTGGCAGAATTAATGCATCTTGATACAGCAAAGGCAGAAACTTCCTTTTCGAGTTCAAGACGGAGCAAATTCTCTTACAATTGGAAATCGCTTCATGGAAGTAGTACTACCTCAAGTTATGGATCACCCTGTCATCCTATGTTCAACCTCAGCAAACACAGTACTAATCCGAAGCCACCTCCACCATTAAAGAACTCCGCACGGATGAGTAATTTCAGTTATCAATTGGTTAGAAGTGCTGAAAGTCCAAAGAATGCAAAATATTCCCTATCAGAGAAAATGTCACACTTACTAAAACCACCTAATAGTAGCAGTCATCAGAATGGAAACTTCACTGTTGGTGCTTTAAAGAGGCGTCATAATATTGCACATTTTGGAGGAGCAATCAACAAGCTTTTGAAAAATGAGGTTCATAAGAAGGCCACCCCATCAGAGGGAAGACATTGGCAGACTTTATTGGATAACTCATTAATCCGACAGAATAAATTGTACTGTTCAGAGCCACGCAATGAAGAATCAACTGAACAATCATGGAGCTCTACAGACAGTGAGTCTGAGAAGGCTGTGTGCTTTTCCTCCAGTGGCAGCATTGCTGATTTGCATGCATCGGTTTCAACTGACACCAGTGACTCAAGTGACCACTCTATGTCATCTTCGTGCCTATCAGTAAATGATCGATGGAAGATGACTTTTAAGAAGGTAAATATTGGAAAATGTTCTTTTAGAAGAACTCTTCAATTGTGATAACATTCTTGACAGGAAAAGTTTAGCTAGTATTAGTATTTGTCTTCTCTATTCAAATAGCCATATTTATTTAGCTTTTATTATTGCTTTCCTTCAAATCTGCTAGTTATGTTGAGCTTCTCAAATGTTATGTGTCAGGTACACTGTGCCCTTGCTGCAAATTTAGACTCTATGTATGTCACTAACCACAAGGAGCTAGAGCAGCCAAGTCCAGTATCTGTTCTTGAAATTCCAGATGAGGATTTCTCTGTCACTAAAAGCATCAAGCTAGGTACAGAAGATCCTCTTGATCTGATACTGTTCACTTCCTATGTTACACTTTCCTTTTATTGTAGTTAACTTTATTTTCTACCTCTGTATTGCAGATCTCCATCCAGAAAGTGAACTTGTTAGATGTCCATCTGTTGAGAGTACAGCTGAGGTAGGAGAAATTGGAATCAGTGATTATGCTTTGGGGGTGGATGGACTAGATGCTAGTCTGAACGGTGAAGCAATACAGCTTGTTGAAGATATCTTTGAAGAATTTGGAGATGAAGAGGAAAGAGAATTTTCTTACGTGCTGGATATACTGATTGTTTCTGGCATTCATGGCACCGCGGAGGATCAGCTGTACAAGGTATGCCAATCTCTTGATTGTCCCGCAGGCTATGATGTGTTTGAGAAGCTTGAAAAGAAGTACATGAAAGTTGCTGAATGGTCAAGATCAGACAGGAAGCTTATCTTTGATATGGTTAACACCATATTATCAGAAATTCTTGCACCATGTTTGGACATGCACCCGTGGGTGAAATCTGCTAGAAAAATGGCACCAGTATGGGGTTCAGAGGGTCTCCTGGAGAAGATTTTGCAGATGTTGGTTCAGAGACGGGAAGAACTTGGGCTAAGTAAGACTAAGCCTGAGAAGAAAGCGTTAGATCGGAAGTGGCCAGATTTATCGGATTGCATTGACAGGGTAGGGAGGGATGTGGAGAACATGATAAAAGATGATCTTTTGGAAGAGATGCTTTTGGATCTGTTCAGTTAGGCTGTTGGCTGCTTTCAGAGTTTCAGGTTTCCATGGCACAATACACTTGCTTCCCCCTTATTTAGTTTTTGATTTTTCTTAGGTACTTCTCAGCTTGTAATGTTTCTTCGTTGGTTCATAAGGTCAAAAGTTTTTTTTTTTTTTGGTTTGTTGAAGCAGTGGTTGACGAGTTTTTTAGTTGAGTCGCCGTGCTTGAGGTATAGAGCAAGTTGTAAATTTTGTTAGTTTAGATCAGGTCCGTAGATTAAATTCTTTTAGAACGAGAAAGGGCATCCCATAGGTTGTAAGTCTTTGGCGGAATGTATAAGGAGTATAGTGGCTCTCTATTTGTTGGATTTTCTCAGTTGAAGGCATTTAAGTCTGTAAATCGGGGAAATAGTACCCTGCCAACATTTGTATTGTTCATTGGAGAATAAATGAAGTGTGTACTTCTGAGTTTTGGTTGAGAGAAACATATCGGGTAAGAGTAAAAAATAGTCTGCTTGAATGTGATTATTGTAGTTTAGTATATGTAACATAGAGCTGTTTAGATGATGGGCATGTCTCTATTGAAAAATAGATCCTGCATGGCTGCATCCCTAATTCCTCTGGTTCTTGAATGAATTGTGTGGTTAGCATAGCATGCGAAGCTCCTGATTAATTGTTAAGTTCGACGGCATATTCTCTCTTCGATTTCAAACATAGATGTTTTGGACTTTATAACTTGTCTCCACACCCAAGTCGTAGAATCTTTACTGATTGAATGCTATCACTCGTCATTTCCACAAGCCTAACCTGTAGGAACAATTAATTATGTTTGACTTAATTTGTGATATACTAAAAGGAAGCTTTTGTATAAATCCACCTTATAAAATGACTAATTTCCACGTCCCAATTGCTCCCAACCATCCTAACCATGCTTCGTATGGACCGTAATAAAAAAAAAACAGCCTTCCAAAGTGAAGACACTCGCCAAGAATCTCAAGGAAAATACCAGTACCTTCTTATAGCACACAAAACAATACTCAACTCTAGCCAACTACTCCTCCGTTCCAAAACAAATGTAATTTCGCACTATTCTTATCTAATGTTTGACATTTCATCTTATTTAATTTTTTTTATGATTAGTATTTTTATTGTTATTAGATGATAAGTCATAAATAGTATTTTATGTGTGACTAATATTTTTAAATTTTTTTATAAATTTTTTTAAATAAGACAGACGGTCAAACGTTGGATACATATACCCTCGGCTATATTTATTTTGGGATGGATATAGTAGTAACAATAAAGTAACAGAGTCCAACGCAAAAATCAACTTGATATAAAAGTGGCATGATAGCTCTAATTTCACGAACACATGCTATTGTTGTCAAACTTGCCACCAAACAGCACGGCAGCTCCGACTACACAGTGATAGCATCATCTTGGCCAAAGATATCATCAAAATGAACAAACATCACCGATTTCTCACAGTCGACATTAGAATCATTCTTACCTGTAAAATTCTAAACAAAACATTGCTTGTAAAAGTGCAAGAAGGCTTGCAGGCCAGAGATAGAGACAAGACATCCCCGTTCACCAGCAGCACAAAAGAACGTAGCAACGATCAGTGGCAGCGTTGCAATTACGGACCGGTGTGGCGGTGTTGTTGCCCATCCCATCAATTTAGCAGCTGCGATGTCACCACCACAACTATTCATTATAGCCACCCAGCTAACACCATCTCGTGCGCTCGTGGCCCTTGGATTCAACTACCCCCGCGCCTTGATATTTGCAACTGCAAATTTGTCTATATACAAAATTTGTCTCCACGTTTTCTTGGATAGTTAGTTGCTCACCCGATCCTGTATCCATGGCGGCCGTGTCGGAGGTGGAGGTCGACGGCGTCGTGTTCCCGCCGGTGGCCCGCCCGCCGGGCTCCGGCCACGCCCACTTCCTCGCCGGCGCAGGTTTGTTTGTGTTTGCGTTGTGTGTTCCGTGTCAGTGGAGAAGTGGAAATGCCGTGCAAGCGAACTTGCTTGCTGGTTTGATCGATCCGTCGTGCAGGTGTGAGGGGAGTGGAGATCGCCGGCAACTTCATCAAGTTCACGGCCATCGGCGTGTACCTGGAGGAGGGCGCGGCCGTGCCGGCGCTGGCCAAGAAGTGGGCCGGCAAGTCCGCCGACGAGCTCGCCGCCGACGCCGCCTTCTTCCGCGACGTCGTCACCGGTAACTCATCTCGCTAAATTTGTTGCTCGTGTCGACGGGCGGCGCGACATGACATGGGCGTCGTCTCGCGTTGCAGGCGATTTCGAGAAGTTCACGAGGGTGACGATGATCCTGCCGCTCACCGGCGAGCAGTACTCGGACAAGGTGACGGAGAACTGCGTCGCGGCGTGGAAGGCCGCCGGCGTGTACACGGACGCCGAGGGCGCGGCCGCGGACAAGTTCAAGGAGGCCTTCAAGCCCCACAGCTTCCCTCCGGGCGCGTCCATCCTCTTCACCCACTCCCCGCCCGGCGTCCTCACCGTGAGCACCAATCCGTTGTTGCCGATTACTCCGATGCGTGATTTGCTTCGTGATTTGGACTCCGTTTGATTCGATTTGCAGGTCGCGTTCTCCAAGGACTCGTCGGTGCCAGAGGGCGCCGTGGCGGCGGCGGCGATCGAGAACAGGGCGCTCTGCGAGGCGGTGCTGGATTCCATCATCGGCGAGCACGGGGTCTCGCCGGCGGCGAAGCGGAGCATAGCGGCCCGCGTCTCGCAGCTCCTGAAGGCGGAATCCACCGGCGACGTGGCGGCGGCGGAGCCCGCGCCGGTGTCCGCGTGAAAATCGAGCTGCGAATTAACCGCGCATCTAAGAGCTCCTCCTACACTTCTTGTACACTTCTACTGCCCTCGTGTTTGACAATGAAATAAAAGGAAAGGAGAAATCGCGGCTGTTCTTCCGTTCCATCTCTGAATTGCCTGTGCACGGCTCGCCACGGTAGAGGTGAAAATGGTTACGAAAATTCTCGATCGACGCCATTTCTGTATAATGGGTACCGTTTTCGATCTTATTATTTTTAGCTATTTATAATATTTTATACATTATAGTATTAATTAATATAAACATTAAATAGTTTAAATAATAAATATAGTTAATTATCCTGATCGAACGTCGTTTTCAAAAGATGCTACCAATTCAGATCGTTTTCACTTATACGACCGGTGAGTACGGGATATTTTCTGCGATTAGGTAGACGCGAATGGCTGATGTGAGTGGCTACGCAATTATGCGAAGCGAGCGAATGCGAGACACGGCTTTCCGCTAATGGGGCCCGGCCCAATTGGCTTAAGTAGATAGGGTGGGCCAGTCAAGGGAGGATCTTTGGTTGGGCCGGCATTAACAACGGTGCTGAAACCGTGAGAAATAAGTCCATCTTCCACCCTCAACTAATGCTCTTTGTAGGGTTTCATAATGTCTATAAAATGAAGACACATGACTATGGCAGATGTGAACGACTATGCAGTTACACGAAGCAAGCGAAAGGGGGCAGCTAATGGGCGGGTGATAAGCTACTCTCTCACTTCCTCCTCCCCTCTTCTCTTCCTACTACACTATATATTTTTTAAAAAATAAAAAAATAAAATTGTAAAAATTCATGTATAGAAATACTATGTATAAAAAATATTTGAATTCAAATTCAAATTTGAAACTGTATGTAAACTTTTGACCTATAAACTTTGGGTCTATAAACTTTAGGTGTATAAACTTTACATGCATAGAAATACTATATATAAAAAAATATTTGAATTCAAATTCAAATTTGAATTTGAAATATAATTCAAATTCAAATTTGAAATCAGGTATATAAACTTTTGACTTATAAACTTTGGGTCTACAAACTTTAGGTGTATAAACTTTAGATGTATAGAAATACTATATATATAAAAAATATTTGAATTCAAATTTAAATTTGAATCGGATATATAAACTTTTGACTTATAAACTTTGGGTCTCTAAATTTTATATGTGTAAACTTGAGGTGTATAAATTTAATAAAATAGGAAAGTAATTTGGTGCCGAAAAAGGAAACCATCTGAAGAGAAGGGGGAGCGCGCTGGGGCGATCGCTGGGGGCGATCAATCGCCCCTTAGCCTTTCCGAAGCGAAAGCGGGCACTGTTTCTGCTAATATGGTCCGGCCCAACTGGAGCAGTGTGGGCAAGGCAAGGGAGGATGTCTGCTTGGGCCGACCTTTACACCGGTGCCGAAAACGAAGGGAAAAAGTACACCGAAGGTCCCTCAACTTATCATCGAGTTTACAAGATCGTCCCTCAACCACAAAAACAGATACTGACGTCCCTCAACTAACAAAACCGTTCACTTTAGATCTTCTGGTGGTTTTTATCCCGGTTTTGTGTGGCTTGAGTCAGCGTGGGACCCACGTGGGCCCCACATGTCAGAATGCCAGTTCATCTCTCTCCTCCCCTCTTCTCTCCTTTCCTCATGTCTATCTGACTTCTCCCCGATTTGACGGCGACGCGGCTGCGGTGGTGGCGGCGACGGGCGACGCGGCAGCAGTGGGGGGAGGACCTGCGGGCGGGCAGTGGTGGAGGGGCGGCGGGGGTAGGAGCGGCGCGCGGGCTCCCCCCCGGCCGCCACCCACGAGGCCCACGACCACGAGGCGGCGTGTGCAGCGTCAAGTTCGGCTGCTCCACCACGACGGCCGGCTCGTTCCCGGCCGACGGGCTGGTCGGGCTCAGCGGCGACGCGGTCTCCCTCGTGACGCAGCTCGGCGGCGAGGCGTCGCTCGGCCGGAGATTCTCCTACTGCCTCGTCCCGCACTCCGTCAACACATCGTCGGCGTTCAACTTCGGCACCCTCGCCAACGTCACCGAGCTCGGCGCAGCGAGCACGCCGCTCGTCGCCGGGGACGTGGACACGTACTACACCGTGGTCCTCGACTTCGTCAAGGTCGGCAACAAGACGGTGCATCGGCGGCGAGCTCCCGCATCATCGTGGACTCCGGCAATGCAAAAATAAGCTTTGTTACTCCTGCAAATTGCAAGTGAACAAAACAATCTCAAGCTAAGTTGTTCTTTAATCAGAAGAACGGTATATGAACATGCAGAATTTCAAGATATTTTGTGGCGCCGGTTTCGCTTTCTTACCTCGCTATAGATTCTGTGAGAGATCAAATTACATGACCCATAAATTGTAGAGCAATGCAGGAGTAACACTCCCAGCTAAGAAATTGATTGATGTATAACACTCCGATCTTCTATCTTCGTTGGGCGATGCAATGAGAATTCAGAATTCTCACTAACAGCCAGCTTGCTAGAATAGAGTATGAGTTACTGATCTTGAATGACCTCATGTGTACATCCAGCAGGAAGCAAACCGAACAAGCGAGTCCGGACTTGACGCTGGAGTTCGGCGGCGGCGGCGGCCGCGCGGCGGTGGCGCTGAAGCCGGAGAACGCGTCCGTGACGGTGCAGGAGGGGACGCTGTGCCTGGTAATCGTGGCGACGACGAAGCAGCAGCCGGTGTCCATCCTCGGGAACCTGGCGCAGCAGAACATCCACGTCGGCTACGACCTCGACGCCGGCACGGTCACCTTCGCCACCGCCGACTGCGCGGGGAGCGGCCGGCCGACGGAGCAGACGAGCGGCGGGCAGGCGCGCTGCGGGAGAGGAAGAGAGCGCCGACGGGGAGCGGGGCGGGGGGAGCGAGGACGTCGCCGCCGTCGTCATCCATGGCCGCAGTTCTCGCGCCCGCGCCGTCAGCGGCGTCGCCGGCGGGAGTGTGTGAGCGCGGGGCAGCGGCGGGCGAAGCAGGCGGTGGAGGGCAGAGCGGGCACGACGCCGAAGACAGCTTCTTCCCGCGCCGGCGCCACCGGCCGCCTCTCCCTTCTCAAGCGTCGCCGCCGCCGCCGCCTCCCGGGCCTCTCCGACGGTCCGACCCCGAGGTCGCATGCGCCGCCGCCGGCTGCCGGACCTCCTCCCTACCCGCCAGCGGCCCTGCAGAGAGGAGAGAAATGAGAGGGAGAGATGAGGAAGGGAGAGAAGAGGAGGGAGAGATGACCTGTCATTCTGATATATGGGGTCCACGTGGGTTTTACGCTAACTCAGCCGCCACCTTAGATAAAATCGGGTCAAAATCACCGGAGTATCTAAATTGAACTGTTTCGTTAGTTGAGAGATGTCGGTATCTGGTTTTGCGGTTAGGGAACGATTTTATAACTCGATAACAAGTTGAGGGACCTTCGGTGTACTTTTTCCAAAACGAAGCTCAGGTAAGCCTTCGAGTCCATGTCCCATGGGTTTCATCCTCTGCTGTCCAAATTCCAGTATGCTGGATGCTGCACGCCTGAACCGAGCTGTACTTACGTAGTGTTTGGATCCATGAACTTAGCTTTAATCCCTGTATTTTGAGTATTAAATATATACTACTTACAAAACTAATTACATAAATAAAAGCTAATTCGCGAGACAAATTTTTTAAGCATAATTAATCCATAATTAGATAATGTTTACTGTAGCATCACATAGGCTAATCATAGATTAATTAGGCTCAATAAATTCGTCTCGCGAATTAGTCCAAGATTATGAATGAGTTTTATTAATAGTCTACGTTTAATATTTATAATTAGTGTCTAAACATCCGATGTGATAGGGAATTAAAAGTTTTAGTCCTATCTAAACATGGTCTTATTCGTTGATGATTGGTCACCAATAAAACAACATAAACTGCCCAATACACTACAAACTGCCCTGTATACAGTACACATTCCAATCGGAGCACACTCTTTCGTTGGAAGAAATAGAAAAAAAAAACGTTCTAGGCTTCATGTTACCGCTGCATCCAGCCATTCAGATGGGCAGAACTAGTTGTTGTTCGGCTTGCACGGAAGATGATGTGCCGTATAGAGAGATCTCCTGACTCACTCACCGGCATTTAATACCTTACCTTCGCGACTGCGACCCAGTTTTACCTGGGACCCTTGGATCTTCTCGTGAGGTTACTGCAACGAGCCGTTGGTGGCGTACGGGACGCACAGTTTGGGACGAGCAGCTCGCGCAGGCGGCACCCGCGGTTTTTACCCCGACACGGCCAGCGCCACTCACGTACAACACGACGAGCCCTCCCATCACGTGCGCGCCACTGACACGCACGCACCGCTAGCAACGGCTCGCTCGCTGCTGCCGCCATCTCGTCCAGTAGCCAAATCCAAGTAGCCGAGTGGTTTCACGGTTTTCACCTCGCGAGCCAAGCCAAAGCCGGTTGTGCACTTGTGCTTTGTGCTCGCGCGCGCGACCGCGTCAAAACCTGCCTCATCTATCGCTAAAAATCACGGCGTCTCGCGGCTCTCTCTCGGCGTACGTGCGTCTCGCTCGCTCTCGCGGGCGGAATCCGTGACGCCGACTCGGCAACTGTTCCCCCCCGGTGAAAAGGGGTGGAGAAGTTGGGAGAAGAATCTGATGCTGCTTTGCGCGTGCAGGCGATCGATCGCGAGAGGCCGGCCACTGTGTCTGTGGCTGTGCGCGCGCACACACAGATACTCCTCGCTTTAGGCCACATTTACAATCATACATGCATGGTACATACAGCTGCTGAATTCTTTCTTATTACCAGAGACAAGAAGGTACTACCATGATTTGTGTACATCTGTGGTAGACTCTAGCCATGCAAAATGATGATTCATGGATTCAAACGAGAACAACAAGTACAGTAACTTGCAAACATTGCGCTGCAACCGTCTCACTCTCCATGTCCTCCTGATTTCCGTTCGAATTATTGTGAAAGGAAAACTGTTGACTCTTCATCATTAAGAAATTCGGCATGCCTTTGTTCTGTCTACCAATACGCTGGTTTCTTGACAGGTTTTGATACTCCTGGCCATGGATTGCTATCGGATAGCTAGCTTTCGTCCAAGGCTTTATTTTTCTTTTGGACGTGTAGACATTCCTTGAATTATTCGGAGTTGTACCGTTTCAGCCACCTTAGCAATCCTGCCTCATCCTTTGTCGAGGAAAAGAAATGGAGAATCCTTCTACACTTTTAGAAGCTGTTCATGAAAGAGCAAGGAGGATATATCTAGAAGAAAGATTGGAACAATCCATGTTTCTTCAACTTGAACCACTAGCTTAACTGAGGATCAGATAACCTGTTTGATGCTACGATTAGTACTATAAAATCTGAACCTGTTTGACGATTCGGTGTTCTGTCCAGATTCGTTATCCTAGAATGTGTCAAATCCCATTAAACTAGATTCATTAGGTAGCAACATTTTAAAACGACGGAGGAAGTAATCCATTAGTGCTTGTTACATCAATCTCAACTACTATATTAATTTCTTGACAGGGCTTTCTGTGGTGGAAACACAAGAGTCATCATGCAGCTAGAGATAAGCAACTGAAGAAGTGAACCATACGACAACGTGGCTGAAACCAGGAAAGCCTGAACACGCCAGGACCATCACGGTAATCTGGCAACTTAGCAGTAAAGCTAAAAACGAGCCGTTTCTCTGAAGCCAACATGTGTACCAACTCTTCTTTTTTTTTTTCTTGTGATATAAAAAATCGTACACACCCTAGCTATTATGCCTAACTTTTTTTTTAAACCGCATTATGCCTAACTTTGCCCAGAAACCGCATTCATGACTTCTTGTTTGTTTTAACCTCCATATGTTTTTGTTTCTCTTGGTAGCAAGGGTGTGTTTAGTTTCACACCAACATTAGAAATTTAACTAAAATTGGAAGTTTGAAGAAAAAAAAGTTGAAAGTTTATGTGTATAGGAAAGTTTTGATGTGATGGAAAAGTTTGAAGAAAAAGTTATTATTTCCTCCGTTTCACAATGTAAGACTTTTTAGCATCGCTCATATTTATATTAATGTTAATGAATCTAGACACATATATGCGTCTATATTCATTCACATATATATATGAATATGAATAATGCTAGAAAGTTTTACATTGTGAAACGGAGGGAGTAGTAACTAAACAAGCGCTAAATGGGAAAATAAGGGGAAATTTAACTATTTGCCACTCTTGTGACATGGCAATTAACGATTTGCCACCCCCTGTCAATGATATGTGGGCCCTCATGTGTCTGTGACATGTGGGTCTAGTGCCAAATCGTTAAGCATTATTTGTAAGAGTGGCAAATGGTTAAAAGCCCCGAAAATAAGAGCATTTTTTAGCAGTTAGCACAGCTTCTACCCTACCGTAGTGCTAACCATGGATAGCAAAGTTGTCTTCTCCTATATAAGCTAAGATACTCTTCCACTCTTCCTTGCTCCATCAGTATTACACCACCCAACACAAGCTCAGCCAGTTTACCACTCACACTAGCTGAGCTAGAACTCACCACTCACTGCAGTTGCAGCATGGCGCCTTTGCTGTTCAAGGACATGAAGAGCCTCTCGTGCTCGTCGCCGGCGTCCACGGCGATATGCCCGAGCTTGGAGCGGCAGCCGATGGTCCGGCCACACAAGGGCGGCGCCATTGCTGCGAGCCCTCTCTGCCAGGTCCCCGGTGAGCCAAGAACGGTTCACAGGCAAGACTGCAGGAGAGGGCAGCAGCATCAGCACAAGGCGGCTGCCGCGAATGGCGGCGAGCTCGTCAGCCCCGCCGGCTCATCCAGGTACCTGCTCAGCAGCCGCGCCGCCGCCGCCGAGGAGATCCAGGAGGTGGAGGCTTCGGCTGCTCCGGCCGTCGATGCCAAGGTGGTCAGGGAAGAGCAAGCTGGTAGTGATGTGAAGAACACTCTGACGCAGGAGCAGGTGAGTAATTACTACACAGAGTTTGTGTTTTGATTTTTCAAGGTTTAATATGCACTTCATTTTCTTTTCCTTTTGCGAAGATACCAAGTTTTGTTCATAAAAGGAGAAGATAAATTAAGTTGTACAAAAGTACTACTCAATAGATGATGCAAATAATTAGTACTAATATCAGGATTTGTATGCTATGATTTTCTATTAGATACTGTGGAACTTCCACCTAAAGAAAGGCAAATATCATGATGACGAATTGACATACATGCTACCTTCTTGATTTCAGTGAGATTTGTACGTATATTAAAATTGCTGGATAACTGACTCGTAGGCTCGTAACTAAGCATGAGAGATTCAGACCAATCCATAGAAAAAAGAGGAGATTCAGCACGTATCCCTTAAACAAAGAGAGATTCAGAACATGACAGTATTTTAAGACTACAACATGACAACTTGCTACAAACATGACAGCACTGCACATCTGCATCGTTTCTGTTTTAAATTTCAAAAAGCCAACACATAGTTGCTTTGAATTAATTAACCACCGGCATTTGCATTGGGTATCTTTTTCAGGTGGTTGTACTGAAGGTATCACTGCACTGCAAAGCGTGCGCGGGCAAAGTGAAGAAGCACCTCGCCAAGATGGAAGGTGAGCCTATCTATCTATCTGCTAGTATCTCGGAGCAACCAAACACAGAAATCAAGATCTGACGCTTTCTCTTCAGAAACACTGAAGATAAATTAAAGATGCCCATTGTAATATGTATGCATGAACAGAGAAACCCCTAGAGTTTTTCCGACTAGCTCTACAATGGGATGGGCTAGACGACCTGGATTCGAAGCCTCACCCTTTATAATTACTCTCTCCGTCACATAATATAAGATATTTTGGTTGAATGTGACACATCCTATTACTCCGAATCTAGATATAGAGTACTAATATCTGCGTCTTTTATATGTATGCATGAATAGGAGTGACATCTTTCAACATAGACTTCGCGGCGAAGAAGGTGACGGTGGTCGGCGACGTGACGCCGCTGGGGGTGCTGAACAGCGTGTCCAAGGTGAAGAACGCCCAGTTCTGGGCGGCGCCGCCGGCGATAGCCGCCTGATGAGAGATGAAAACGCATAGGATCCTCTCTGGTTAATTAGGTGCGGAAGCATGTGGGTCACTGATGCTGGACCAGCTCGCTCTGCTGTCTGTGTGATGGTGGTGGTGGTGTCTCCTAGATCGATGAGAGCATGCGTGTGTGTGCGCGTCGTCCTGACTGATCCTGAAGCAAAGCATGCAGATGCAGCTTTGCTTCTTACTGTGATCCTTTTGGTTTCTTGTGGTTGGCACCATGCTGAGCTACATGCCCGTCACTGTGCTTCTTCTTCCGTAGACTGATGAGAGTGTTTGTGACTATATATCTGCTCTAAGTGTAAGTGGTGGTGTTGTTCTTTTGCATGCTCTTACTGTAATATAAACGTTTCACTGCAAGTCTGCAATACTGCATTATTGTTGTGTCGTACTGCAACTGTAGGTGGTGATCGCGTAGGTTGAGGTGGGATCGAGATCCTCTGCCTTCAAAACACCATACTTTTATCGCTGAAAGGTGAACCTATGATTCATCAAGTTCATATGTCAGTGATAAAGACATGTACATTTGAAGGTAGAGGAACATGATCCGTTGTGGTGGTGAGTAAACAGCAGCATCAGCCTAATTTGCTTGCAAGGTCAATAACATTTTTTAGATCAATAACATGTAGTAGCAGAACTCTCAAATGGAAAATAATGATTTATCCCTAGTACAATAAAATGCTTGTATGTGTACTGCTGGAAGAAACTTTGAGCCAACCGGGAGATGATGAACACATATGCCGAAGTAACAGCCTTCTGAACTCTGAAGATCGATGCCGTCGGAGAGGACTCCAACGGCACATCTGACTTGGGAGATGCGGCCCATTTAAATGAGGTCTGAACGGGATAGTGACTTGCATATAGCCCATTTGAGTTGGCCCTTAAACATGATAGTGGTAGGAGAGTGTTTTCGCGAACTGATTTTGGATGAGCCTCAACGATCTTGCCACTAAACTGTGCCACCCTCAAGCTCCCAACAACCGTAGAATTCAATTCGCTAATGGATCCTTCGCTCCGGCATATACAGGCAGTGGTGGTGACCTCCTTAGGCCGCCTCCTGTCGTCGGCGTGCTGCCCGCGGCTGCAGACGAAGCTAAGCCTGAATGATGTAATGGGGTTCACGGAGCTAAAGCTCGACGCGGGCCGGGAGCCCGGGACGATGTAGCTGTGTTGTCAGGGCCGGTTCTATAATTTTGAGGGCTCTAGGGCAAACTTGACAGCATGAGCCTTAACGCGCTCTCCCCTACAGAGAGACGTGTTATATACATACTCACACTTTTTAGGGTTGTTCAGATTGATGTCATTTCAAACCATACCAATTTTTAGTAAAATTGTCAAAGATGTATATTCATTTAGTTTTTTTACAAAACTTTAGTAAATATATAAGAAATCCTGCTAAAACTTGGCAATATGACTAAATTGTCAAAATTTTGACATTGTCAAAATTTGGTAAAATTTATTTTGGTTACAATCTGAACAACCCCTTTTATTTTTAAAGTGTGTTTTCAAATCTAATCATGAAAGAAATGAACATATATAACATTTCATATATATGTTGTTAGAAATAGAAAAAAAAATCGACACTTAAACTGACCTTATTTATTTTTCCCCTTTACTTAGCGAAAAAAAGCTTCTAGAGTAAAATTACAACTTTTCAGTACCTAAAAATTTTAGAGGAAATATATATTATCAACAAGAATCTATCTATACATACAATTTTGATTGTTGAATCTACAATCTTTATTAATTCACTAATCAGTACTCCCTCCGTTCCAAATTTATCTACATATTTCATAGGTACACCAAGATCAATAAAAGCTAATAGCTCTCTCATACTATATTTACTCTAACAACAAACTCAATGCATATACCATCCCCACTATTTCCTAGCCAATAGTAAATCAAGATATTGTATGTGGGTTATAAATACTTGTATGCATGGATGCATGCATCAATGTCCATTTACTCTAATGCACAAATAACGAATAGAATTAATGAATAAACACAAATATGTAGATCATTTAGGAAGAATAAATATGTAGATACTAGTAGATAAGCCAGGAGTAGTAGATAGTACGGAATTATTCACTAGTCTTAAATACCACTTTAGCTCATACAGTACTCATACATATTTAGGCATGGCCCCTAGCCAGGACGGGCCCTAGGCCATCGTCCTCTTTGCCCTGCCTCAGAGCCGGGCCTGCAGTTGTTGATAGTATCTTTTTCTCATATTTTATTTCCATTTCAGAAACAGGTTACATGATTTATCGTACAATTTTCTGAACTAAAATGGCTTTTCATATCTTCATAACTCCTAATACTAGAATAAGTTAGATGAGAAAATATCCTGACAATCGTAGGCTGGAGTACTCAGTTGTTTGGGCTCTCACGGCTAATTGTTGGTTTTGGCAAGAATGTCCACACGCATGCATCGTCTAAGGATGGATGTGATTAGTTAGGTGCATGAGGCTGGATGAGTTTGGTTTGTGGGAAATAAGAGTTCGATGATTGGATTCGGCGGATTTAACCGGATATAGCCATTCACATGTGGCCTATTCTGATTGCTTATGGTGGGTTTAATTTTCTGTTAGCAAGCTCAAAATGTTTTTTCTCCTAAACCTTTTTTCTAATTTGTGATCCATTACACCATTATATTTATTACAATTATCTTTAAAATAAGATCTCGTATGGTTATATTTCGATGAATATATATATATATATATGGTAAATGGACACTTAATCCCATCATGCTATAGCACTTCAACCAAACAAGAAACCGGAGGCAAACTGCAGTGCAATTTAGTTTGCTTATCACTTCCACTTGCGCCCAAACTTCTTGTGCTTGCCGTACTTGCCATGCTTGAACTTTCCTTTCTTGAATTTGCCACCATGGTGGCCGAACATCCCGTGGCCGCCACCGCCGCCGGGTCGTACCATGTGAGCTCCCACCGCAGCAGCCGCCACCGCGGCGCCTCCGGCGAGCAGCGCTCCATAGCCAGATGCGCCTGCACCATGCCCACCTCCTAACATACCACCACCTATTACAATATGGAACTTGGAAGTGGGATAAATTCAATTGCATATACTCGCTCCGTCTAAAAAAAACTCAACCTAGAAGAGGGATGTGATCTCTCCTAGGACAACGAATTTGGACAAATAATAGTCCAGATTCGTAAGGTTGAGTTTTTTTGAATGGAGGAAGTAGTGCTTTGCATCATTCACCAAGTTACATGATAGTTACACAGGAAATGCAAGAGAGAGCATACCTTGCATGGGTGGACCATGGCCATGACCTGGGTAACCAGCTGGCGGGTAGCCTGGTTGTTGTGGATATCCTGATGGTGGATACGCTCCTGGAGGGTACCCACCTTGTGATGGAGGGTAACCGCTTGGTGGATATTGTGCACCAGGGTACCCACCGGCTGGTGGGTATTGTCCCGGTGGTGCACTAGGGTATCCACCGGGAGTCGGATATTGTCCAGGTGAATTAGGGTATCCTTGCATTAGGGGATATGCACCAGGGTAACCGCTTGGATACGCTCCATGGAACCCTTTGTCGGCATTTGAGGAGTCATGATTGTCCTTTCTGCCTCCCATTTTTGTGACCTTTTTAGCACTTGACTGAAACATAGGGAAATCAAGATTACACCATGACCATTTTGTCGTGCAAAATATATATAAGATTTGCAGAGACAGAGAGTACCTGGATATCTTAGGTGAACATGCAGATCATAAACTTCTCAAGAAGGTGGCACCAACAGTGACCTACCTAAGACTTGAAAAGAATTTTTGAACAAGATTCAAGTTGACCTATGGCTTCTCCTCTCATGCCATGGGCTTGTATACATACACACATGAGGTGGACACTAAAGCAAGCCTCCTACCAAAACCAGATTACCACGAGCTGCTATGTTTAGAAGTGCTAAGCTATTTGTTTGGTGTGGTTGTACATGAAGATAGGAAAGGCTTCTTCCCGGCCCCCGCACCCTTCGGTTCTTTGCATGGTCATTTGTAATTTTGGGCTAAATAAGCTCCATAACACACAGCAAAATATAATCAATAAATGTCTAAGAAATATAGCTAGCAAAATCCGTTGTAGTCTAGCTGGTTGGGATACTCGGCTCTCACCCGAGAGACCCGGGTTCGAGTCCCGGCAACGGAAGTTTTTTTTCCTAGCACTTTCATTTTTACACATAGATGTACACAGAAAATTGCATTGGGAAGGCACAACAACTCATAGGACCAGGAAATTTTGATGCGCAGTCACAATTCACAATTGTATACCGTCAGGACACAGTTTTGAGCTCCCAGTTTTTCCCAGGGTTACTCCAGAGAGCGATAATTTATGAAACTACTAGTGAGCAACAAGTCGATAAACATCAAATGTTCTTCCTACTTTAGGTTCAGCAATATATAGGATATATAAAAGGATAGGTTTCGGCTTAGCCATGCTTCGAGAGGATGCTCTCTGCGACGCTACGAGCGATGGGATGATAGAATTCATGCGCCTCTGAGAAGATCCTATGGGCAAGCATCTTCTCCTCCCCGGAGCATCGAGCCAGCGAGCTGTAGAGCGGGCGAAGGTACTTCATCCTCCCCACTTGCTTCAAGCATTTCTCAACCTCGTTGAAGTAGCATCTGCAGCCGGTGGGAATTGCAAGCTGGAGAAACGCGACTTTGACCTCGTAGTCACAGCTTTCTGATAGCTTGTACCGCTCATCGAGAGCAGTGACCTGTATAAGGAACAATGAATGGCCATGGAAGCAGTTAAGTTAAAGACATACAAATGTGTTACACACCAAGCTCCCACAGTATACCATGTAATAACAAAAATGGCAAATACTGACCACCAACAGTGTTGATTGAAAACTACAAATGATCGGCTAATAGCCCTGAACAACTCCCAAGCATAAATAGCTACAGATTTCCTTTCAACATCTTATAGTCAGTAGACAGCTTTCAACTTTCATTTGTACTCCAAAGATGACAGCCACAAATGATAGCCCATCTTTCATTGTAGATGCTCAATCAGGAAAAGCAGCGATGTGTTACTAATTAGTGATTAACTGATTATTGAGTCCAAAGATGATTTTCATGTATGTCACCATCTCTTCTGACAAGGCCCATGGTTATCATATGAACACTGAAATATTGGGTTGCAAAGTACACTGAAATGTACTAGGGCTGTAAATGCAATACTGATCTGTACCTGCAGATAGGAGAATGTCCAAACTACTGCTAGTCTGCCCCACCCTTCTATGATGGCAAAAAGTGTCCACCATGTCCATATAATGTCCCCCTCCGAACAAGTGATGTTTGAGCTAGAGACTGATTGACTATGCGATAAATCCATTCAATCCATTTCAAATCCAACTAATAAGCAGAACCTGGTTCTAGTATCGTTCATGAGTGAAGCATAATGCACTTAAGATTATGACTGCACACTTTTGCCACTTTGTACAGTGTAATTTACATCTGATTCAGGGTCCACTTTCCTCGGTAAACAAAAGTCTCCAGATTTAATTTTTTTTTGTGGCCAGCATTTCTTAAAAAGCATGACTATGACATGTAGGGGAATTCATAATTTGACAATGGATACACCATCATTGGTCTCAGGCCAGATGCACCTAACCAAACTTCATGCAACAGAACTAAGATCATATAAAGACTGGTAAATTAAACATGGATTATATGTCCGTAGAAGTATTGCTTAATACTATTGGCCTGATCCATATATGTAATAGTATAATAATAATATAAAGACAAAATCACAGCAGAATGTAAGGATAGTCCTTATTTTACAAACACATGGAAGCAGAAAACCCAACCATCTAAACTGATCAGCACGGGTGATGCAACATTCTGCTATGCTTGAGATTTGTGATTGGGTGAAATAGCAAATTGCAACCTACAAATCACTGGTGCTGAACTAAACCATCAAAGGGAACAGAGAAAATTCAATGTATAAGTCTACATGACAGGCAACCAATTTCAGTTTCAGCTTAGCTGATCTAGAAACCACAAAACCAGAACTAAACAGTGGGTAAGTAAAAATATGCAGTAAGCTTATACGAACATGGAACAAATCAACAATTATAGACTGGAGGTATGAAAAAGAAGTGTGAGAACTGAGAATAGACGAGAATTCATACCTGTGAAGCTTCAACATCTGTGGGTAAGTTTTCCAAGTAAAGTTCCCATTCCTGTCCACTCCAGTCTGCTACCTCATCTTCACTTGGAAGTTTTCCAGACTTAAACTCTGCAGCTAGGGAGCAAATCTTTTTATAAATAGCTGACTCTGGTTCCATGGCATCCGGAGGGATACCAGTCCCCTCGATCCACAGTTGAAGGTCAATTTGGTTTTCTATTCCAGGTACATTGGTTTTCAGGAATTCAAGGAATGTCTCTGTGTCTATCGACTTGAACTTAAATGTGGATATGTAATTCTTCAGGAATTCATCAAATGCAGGTCGACCAATCTAACAGGGGAAAAAGAATGAAACATCACGACAAGTCATGAAAAACTCATTGATTTTGATTAAAGAACGTTGCAAAACAGTTGAAACAAATAGTCGCAATTTTGCACTCACCTGACGCTCAATGCGCCAAAGGAATTGGAAGCCTTTCTCATAGGGAACTTCTGAGTACACATCATCAGGGTCAATCCCTGCCATCTTTGGCTTCAGCTTAGTATACTCCATGTTATCTTTAAACCTCTCCATCATTCTGTTCAAACCCCGCCATCCAATTCCCATGTTTAAGGCTGCCCGCTCCTCCCCTTGCACCACCTCAACAATCCTCCGCTCCGCATATGTTGTGAAACCCTGTGCGCGAAAACAATAGTATGGTTACATGACAGCAAGAGAGTTTTAGTTGAACGCGTGTGCCTCATTTCTAACAGTTGGGACAAAGAGGATGTCAAACTATTATAAAACACTTTTAGCTGAATGAAATTGCAAGTGAGGTAATCTGATGTAACTGAAAGTTATATCGCTTAAGGCATTCACCCTAAGTAATAGTTGGCATTGTAGCTTGGTGCCTTTTTTTTTTCTAATTGATGTTTTATACTAATCCTTGAGACCTTTGACCATGCAAAGTGTACCCCCAGGGTTTATGCACAGGTTAACAGGTAGTAGTGACAGAGTTCGTTCCAAATCATTTGTTCTACCCTATTGTTAAATTGGCATGTGAATGCAAAGTACATAGACACAATTTCAAATTTCACCGGCTTTAACAATCATCTAAGTACCTAAAAGCACATCTAGACGACAACTAGAACAAATGGAGGGTTCATCACTTCACCTCATTTAGCCAGAAATCTTCATTGGTCTTGTTAGTGATCAGGTTGCCAGTCCAGCTGTGCGCGAGCTCATGCGCCACCACTTGCGCCCCAGCAGCGTCCCCCTTGATCACCGTGGGCGTGAGGAACACCATTCTAGGGTTCTCCATGCCACCGTAGGGGAAACTGGGCGGCAACACCAGCAGATCAAACCTCTCCCACTCATACGGCCCAAACAGCGACTCCCCAACCTTGACCATCTCCTCGACGCCGGCGAACTCCCTCGCCGCCTCGTCGAGAACCTTGTCCCCTCCCTCGGCATACACCCGCGTCCTCGGGCCGAGGTCCCTGAACCCGATCCCGCCTGCGGCGAACGCGAAGAGGTAGGGCGGCACGGACTGCTCCATCTGGAACTCCTCCACGATGCGGCCCGGCGCGCACCACAGCGCGTCGTCGCAGGCGCCCCGGTGGTCGGAGGGCAGGGGGTCGCGGCGGGAGACGTGGCGCGCGGCGGCGACCGCGGAGAGCTGGGTGGGGACGTTGAGGAGGAGGTCGAAGGTGATGCGCGCGGCGGGGGTGTCGTGGCAGGGGAAGACGGAGCGGGCGTGGATGGACTGGCACTGGGAGAAGACGAAGGGGAGCGAGGAGGCGGTCTGCGGCGGCGAGAGCCACTGCAGCGCGGAGGCGGAGGGGGAGGTGGAGAAGGTGAGGAGGAAGGAGGTGGTGTCGGGGGGCAGGGTGAGCGTGAGGGCGGAGCCGAGGACGGGGTCGGCGGCGTCGGCGAGGGAGAAGGGGATGGGGGAGGGCGGGCCGGAGGCGGTGGAGGCGGAGTGGACGGCGAGGGCGCGGGTGTCGAGGAGGAGGTCGCCGGAGTGCGGGGCGGAGAGGGTGAGCAGCGCGGAGGCGTGGATGGTGGAGGCGGCGAAGTCGAGGTAGAAGGCGAGGGCGGCCTTGGCGGTGACCGGGTGGTCGCCGTCGGTGTACGAGTGGGGATCCACCGGCGGCATGGCTGAGCTGCAGCGGCGGAGGAGGAGGAGATCGGAGTGGAGGGTAGGGAGGGAGGGACAGGGTTTGGCTTTGGCCTGTGTGGATTTGGTCGAACTCGAATCGAGACAGGATTGAAAGAAGCAATGCAACACCTCTTCAGGGAAAAGGAGCTTCAAACCTCGAATTGAAAGAAGCAAATCACATGCTTAACTTTTTTTTTTAAAAAAAGAATACAGTACTCCATCCGTCCAGAATATAAGAAGATTTAGAGTTGACACGGCTATTAAGAAAGTATGAATAATTAAATGGTGAAAGATTGGGATTGGTTGAAAAGTGAAGGTAGGTGGGGAAATTAAATGGTGGAGGGTTGTGATTGGTTAAGAAAAAAATGTTAGTGGAGAAGTTGTTATATTTTAGGACAAATTAAAAATACTAAAAGTTATTATATTTTAGAATGGAGGAAGTACATTATTAACTTTTAAATTATATACTCACACTATATCTATATATAGTACATTATTAGTTTCTTTAATATACTAGTAGATTGATCGTAAGTAATGTGTATACGTTTTTTCTACGTGTCGGTCCGAGATCATACAACATATACTATACTCGCACTAAGTCAAAACAATATACTAATAGATTGATCGTAAGTTGTCAGGGTTATGGATACCACATATCTAATAATAGTTGACTAAATCTCGACAAGACCCACCACATACCATGTCTTATACGGAAACAACCTTCAGATATAGGAGGAGTTCCGCATAAGGAAGGATGAATAGAGTTATACATGGAAACGATAAGGACTACTCGGATGGTAT